TACATTTGTCAGCGTTAAAACGCAGCTGCCACTTATCAGCCCAGTCAACCAGCCTGTCAAGATTACCTTGCAACTGTACTTTTTGCGACGTATTCTTCACCATATTATAAATTTTTGTGTCGTCAGCATACATCGAGCAAACGCTAGACACAGCTTCTGGCAGATCGTTTTTAAACGCAACGAATAGAATAGGCCCGAGAACGCTTCCTTGTGGCACGCCGCTGCGCACTGAAGCCCAGTCTGATACGGACCCATTAATACTGACACGTTGTCGCCTCCCTACTAGAAAATCTCTGATCCATTTGAGTACATTACTCTCAATTCCCAAAGACTTCAATTTACGCAACAACCGCTCATGTGGGACACTGTCAAATGCCTTGGCAAAATCGAGGTACACTGCGTCTACTGGCTCCCTTTCGTCCAGCAGGCGGGTCCATTCGTTCAGAGTCGACAAGAGGTTAGTGGTGCAGGATCTCCCGGCAATAAAGCCATGTTGACAGTCTGATAGGAGATTATTAGCAGTCAAATGATCTATCATTCGATCCCTCACAACAGATTCCATTACCTTGCAAACGACACTTGTCAAACTGACAGGGCGATAGTTGCCCGGGCAGCTTTTGTCACCTTTTTTGAACAATGGTGTCACTTGAGCTTCTTTCCAGTCAGCCGGCAACATTCCTTCGATCAAAGTTTTTCGAAAAAGTGACGTCAGAGGGCCGGCTAGGACAGTTGCTAACTCTTTGAGTAATCTGGGGTGGAAGCCGTCTGGTCCACATGACTTGTTTGGATTTACAGCGATAAGGCGCTTGAGAACCTCTTCTTCTTGTATTTGAAAGCTTGTTAATTTAGAGCCGACTGGGCGCTCCTCAATAGCTGGAATACTGTTCAAGTCCTCTTCAGTAAATACGCTACTGAAAAAATGATTAAGTACGTTGGCTTTGCCCTCATCAGAGGATATCTGATGAGTTAGTTGAAAGTCCGTGTTACCCGCCGACAGCCCCAAAACATCACTGCTCCAGAAGAGATCTGCCTGGAGGAATGGGCAACATACCTGCAACAATGTGTACCAACCTTGTAAAGATTTACAGATAACGTTTGTCCTCTGTCATTGCCAACAAAGAATATACAACAAAGTATTGAATGAACTGTTGTTGTTGACCAAATACTTATTTTAAACCATTATTTGCAAATAAATTCTTTGAAAGTCCGATAAAATTATTTTCTCACTTTTTTTTCACATTTTGTCTCTCAAAGTTGAGGTCTACCTATGATGTCAATAAATATTACAGGCCTCTCTCATCATTTCAAGTGGGAGAACTTGCACAATTGGTGGCTGACTAAATGCTCATTTTCCCCTCTGTATTTCCTTACCACATTCAAGTCTCACCAATCATGTGCAAGCAGCTGCATAAAATCCCGAAGATGAAAAACATCGCTTGCATCTTTGCTGTAGAATGTCTGATGTAGAATTAGGTTATTAGAAGTGGATAGGTTAAGTTATGTTTGGTTCTTTACAGTCAAAATTTGTTGCCGTGCCTGCTGCTCTATTTCAAGAATAATTTTTACAGCTAAAATTCATAATTCATCAATGTTCCTATTTCATCGCTCCGTAAACTTTAGCGCATTTCCCTTTTTAAACACCGGTCTAAAAATCTTGCATCATCGCTGAACGGGAAGATAAAACTCGGATATCAACTCATAATTTGATTGGCATTGACTTTGCTCCAGAAAACCTATTATATCTAGCTTGGTCTGAATATCAAGTAAATTTTCACAGCTCGTGTCACACTACGTCAGTCATCGCAGTTCATGTCACACTGCGCCAGTGTTGGCCACCGCATCCTGTGTTGGCCGTGTGTCCTGATAACTCCGCGATATTCCCTGACATATCCTTTGCTACGTGCTCTGCTGCCTGACACTATTAGTTACCGTGGACATCAGTCACTATCATTACCAGGGACGTCAGTCACTATCATTACCAGGGACGTCAGTCACTATCATTACCAGGGACGTCAGTCATTATCATTACCAGGGACGTCAGTCACTATCATTACCAGGGACGTCAGTCACTATCATTACCAGGGACGTCAGTCACTATCATTACCAGGGACGTCAGTCACTATCNTGAGATACTTACACCTTTGACACCGCGATATCCTTTTTCTCAGCAGTAGAGTTATTTATTGAGATCAATTTTAGAGAGATTTACTTGATAACTTGGAAGAAACTGCTCTTCTATGAAGATTCTGCATTATTCCCAAAATATTGCTTGCGAGAATATTGAAGCGAAAAAAGTAATATTCTTGCTTGATTCACAAACTAGTTTCATTAGTTTAGATGTGGTTTACATACAGTAGGTATGAAAGATGCAATACAGCATACGTAAGCCTGTCTCTTATACACATCTAGATGTGTATAAGAGACAGATGTAGTTGAATTTAAACTCAACTAAAAATGACGAATTAGTCATTCGATTGGCTTAAAAATTCGTTAGTTAGCACTTATGCCTCACATTTTGTACGGAAATGTTTGCATGTTCTGCCTCGCTTCATCATTTAAATTTTGGCCAGAAAAAGTCATAACAATTCTCTTACGAATGAATTTCCCCCTGAGGGTAATTTTTCCATTTCTCAGGGGCAATTATCTATAAATATATTTTCTATACTTTAATTGAGTCAAATATACAACGATGTTGATTACTTTTATGAAAAAAAAACAAAATTATAGCGTTTTTCTTTTTTATGATCATGCTGCTGAGTTTGAGAAGCGTGTTCCAAGCCTTAGTTAACAAATGCATGACTGCGACGCAGCTGAGTTGACAAAAAGGCTGCTGCTTAGCATTGCTGCTGCTCTTTAATAATGATTTATATAAAACGTTAATATAACGACGCTCTTTTACAGAGCTTGAAGAAGCTGTTGACGTCTGAAATCTCTTTTAAAACGTTTTTATTTCTTCAAAATTGCTCGAATGCAATTAAATAAGCTAATGTAAGAGTGTATAAAACATTGTAACATTTTTACTGAATTTGCAACGCTCATAAAACCTTATTATTTACCTTGTGTAACAGTTTTATTAAATGTGTGCTAACAAAAAACTGATCAACTCCACGGTTCGTGCATGGATTTAAGTGTGTTGAAGCTGTTCATTAACATCTCTTCTGGCCCGCTTGTCCCGCAGAGATCATAGAGGAGTGGGGCGACAAGTACAACTGGACATACGGGATGGGTGAGTTATTCTCTAACTTCTTTTGAACTACAAGCACCCTGCACTACCATTACTGAATTCACTAAAATTACTTCTTGTCACGCCGATTCAGTAAATTTGGAACACTGAGAAATTTATTCCAGTCCAATTTCTTTAATCTCAGAGAAAGCAACAGCAGTTCATCAGCAACCTGCACAGCGCTCTACTTCCTTTCTCCAAGGAAACTTTTTTCTTAATTTTTGCGCGTCATCTCTTCCTTATTGAGAATTCTTTGTGTTTCATCGTTTCTCGCCTCTTCCTCAGTAATATTATTAGAGGCATCAGAGTTGTATAAGCCAAACCTAACATGTCACCGATTCTAGACATCACAGAATTCTTAGAGCTTAAGGCATCACAGCTCATGTCGCACTGTGCCAGGCATCACAGTTCATGTCACACTGTGCCAGGCATCACAGCTCATGTCGCACTGTGCCAGGCATCAGGCTCATGTCACACTGTGCCAGGCATCACAGCTCATGTCACACTGTGCCAGCGTTGGCCACCGCATCCTGTGTTGGCTGTGTGTCCTGATAACTCTGCGATATTCCCTGACACATCCTTTGCTACGTGCTCTGCTGCCTATCACTATTAGTTACCGTGGACGTCAGTCACTATCATTACCAGGGACGTCAGTCACTATCATTACCAGGGACGTCAGTCACTATCATTACCAGGGACGTCAGTCACTATCATTACCAGGATCGTCAGTCACTATCATTACCAGGATCGTCAGTTACTATCACTATTCTTCGATTTGCAACATTGCTGACACAATTAATTCCTGAAGAATTTAATCATTCTTCTGCATCACTGGTATCACAATTCAGTCCTGTAAAGGTTCATCATTCTTGTGCATGGTGACACAATTCAGTCCTGTTGAGGTTCTCTACCAAGTGTTTAACTTTAGACTATCAATCACACCTAGAAAAAAACGCAGTACACGAAACTTTTAATTTACGACGAAAGAATTCGAAATTTGTTCAATTAATTATACCTGAAACAGGTTCTCGAATTTAAGGACAATTTGTCTTGAATAAATTTTGAGGGCCAATTTCTCTAGCGAAACAGAAAGAGAGAAATGTATTTAAGAAGAGGCTTACAAGCGAGGCTGGCGACAGCGGGCAACCGGCCTTAGCAGCTCGAATTGCGAGTACGCATTCGTCCTGCGAAGCAAAAACGTACGCTGAATATGTGTACAATTCTGGGAGTAGTTCGAGAGAGAAAGTTTATTTTAACATCGCCTACGTAGGCGCCTGCAAATACAAGCAAATTAATGTTGAATGAGATGCCCGTTTGCAAAGCAGTAACAAGGGCTAGAGTTCGACGCAGCGTTATTAATCGTTATTTTGATAAACCTTAATTAATTAGGTTTAACATAACTAATTATAGCAGTCAATATAAGTAAACCTGTGTCTCGAATCGCCATCGATAATGATTATGAATTTGAATTAAGATAGTGAAAATAAATTTGCTTTTTGAAGGCTGGTAGATATAATTATTATTAATCTTTTTTAATCAGCGGCTATTTAAATATATTTTTAAAATAATATATTTAAAATAAATTTTTTAATAACTTCGCTTTTTGAACGCTGGTAAAAGTAATTATTATTAATATATTTTAATCCGCGGCTATTTAAATATATTTTAAAAATATATATTTACATTACATTATTCAATAATTTACTTTTAAATATGTTTTTATTTATCCGTATGATAGTTTGTATTGTACTATACTAACTTGTCGCCCAATGTGCAGTACTACACCGTCCTGGTGCCTCCTGCCATGCCTACCATCAACGACACGAGTAAGTGCCATGTTCTCTGTTCAATAATATTTTTTTTAATTTACTTAAAATTAATGTAAGTTTTTAAATAATATTTGTTGAATATTCCTTCACTAAAAAATTTACTTACCTTGAGGTTAGCGAATGCATTTATCGGGTGTCAACTGACGACATTCAAATATTTCTGTAAATAAAAACCCTGCGGCTAAAAGATTATCCTTCCTTAACTATTCAACATGAAAAACTTTACGTATGTAGTTGAACTTAAACTCAACGAAAAAGGCTTAATTAGTCATTCGACTGGCTTAAAATTCGTTAGTATGCTCTAATGCCTCACATTTTTGACCGAAATGTTTGCATGTTCTGCCTCGACTCATCGTTCCAATATTGGCCAGAAAATGTCACAATTTTTAGCGCATTTTCTCATTTATGGAATAAATTCACTATTGTACTTGCCATGTCCGTCTGTCTGTCTGTCTGTCTGTCTGTCTGTCTGTCCGTCCGTCCGTCTCTCCGTCCGTCCGTCTCTCCGTCCGTCCGTGACCTCAAGTTTTCGTCTACAAGAAAATGCGCTCTCTGTCACTCATTGCAGTGAGTACTGAGTTATATTTTTTACCAATTGACTTACCCCATAAGAGGAATTTTGCAATTTCTCAGGAGTTATGGACGAGAAAATATATATTCAATGTTTTAATTAAGCCAAATATGCAAAGATGTTGACTACTTTTCTAAAAAAATAAATCTTATTGCATTTTTTCTTCTTGATAATCTTGCTGTTTGAAAAGCGTGTTCCTTGCCTCAGTTAACAAATGCATGACAGCGACCCGGCTGAGTTGACAAAAAGGCTGCTACTTAGCATTGCTGCTGCTCTTTAATAATTATTTATGTAATACGTTAGTATCATGAAGCTCTTTTGGAGAGTTTAAAGAAGCTGTTGACGTCTAAAATCTCGTTTAAAAACGTTTTTATTTCAACAAAATTGCTTGATTGCAATTAAATCAGCTAATGTGAGAGTGTTTAAAACATTGTAACATTTTTTCTGAATTTGCAACTCGCCTAAAACCTTATCATTCAACATGTGCAAACGTTTTATTAAATGTGTGCTAACAAAAAAACCTGATTAACTCCACTGTTCGTGCATGAATTTAAGTGTGTTGAAGCTGTTCATTAACATCTCTTCTGGCCCGCTTGTCTCGCAGAGATCATAGAGGAGTGGGGCGACAAGTACAACTGGACATACGGGATGGGTGAGTTATTCTCTAACTTATTTTGAACTACAAGAACCCTGCACTACCATTACTGAATTCACTAAAATTACTTGTTGTCACGCTGATTCATTAATAAATTCACTAAAATTATTTGTTGTCACGCTGATTCATTAATAAATTCACTAAAATTATTTGTTGTCACGCCGATTTAGTAAATTTGGAACACACAGATAAATTATTTCCAATTCAGTTCGATGAGTCTCAACGAAAGCAACAGCAGTTCATCAGCAACCTGCTCAGCGCTGTACTTCCTTACTCCAAGGGAACCTCGGACGTTCTGACAATTTTTTTTTGCACGTGCTTTCTTCCTTATAGAGAATTCTTTGGGATTCACCGTTTCTCGCCTCTTCCTTAGTAACATTATTAGTGGCGTCGGAGTTGTATAAGCCAAACCTAACCTGTCAACGATTCTAGACACCACAGAATTCTTACAGCTTTCTGGGGTTATTGAACCCGCAAGACCCTGCTCCAATCTTAGTACTCTGCACTGTAGCCATGCACTGGGCCTCCGATCTGCTTGCATTTAGTTTCAACACGGCGCTTCGAACAACACGGCGCTACGACAATCACTTCCACCGTATTGTTTAATGTTTAATTAAGCGCCGTCGATGTTATTCATGCCTTGAGATCTGGAGGCAATAGTCACCGTCGATATATAAAAATGCTGAATAAAAACATTTGTCGGCCGTTCGGTCCCGCCATGTTAATTGTTTCTCGAAACTTTGCATGCGGCTTAGCTTCATATTTTCCTAATTATGTTCAGCAAGTATGCCCTTGATTTTTATCTTCCCATTTCTTTCTATTTACGTTAAAATTATCTAGCTAATCATAACAATTATCAGCACGGCAATTGTTATACAAGGACGATATTTGTATTTGTTTGATATTTGAGACTTATCAGGCAGAAATTGATTTCGTCCCAACCATTGAACAGTTATCTTCAACAATGTTTATTATTATATTAGAGGCTTTGAGGCAAGCATTATTCTCTTTCTGTCATAACTGCAGTCAGCTGCAATAATGAGTTGCTGTCGCATTTCATTCAAGCAGAGACTTGACACTTTTCGCCGCATTCAAGTAACATTTTCGGCAAAGTGCAGAGTGAAGTTAATATGTTCGCAAGCAGCATGGAGTGCAAAGTGGCAACTTCAAAGTTTATAAATTACTTAGGAATAAGTTTTAACAGTTTTCATAGTCAAAGATATGCCAAAAAAATGAATATTGACCGTTTCTTATGCCTCAGAGCTGTCGACAGAGAGGTAGTGAAAGTTTTTCTTGTCACAAATTGGTCAGATAATAGCAGTTCCTCATGCCACAAATGCACCTCTAACTACCGCAAGTGTGTAGGAAAAGTTTTATCAGTTCCTATCGTAACAAATGCGCAGAAAGAAGAATTTTAACATTTCATCTTCTCGTTGACGTGCCAAAATTTGAATATTGGCAGTGATTGTGGCGCAGAGGTGCCGTGGGGTGAGTATTGACCGTTTATCATGTCCGAAAGGGGTAATATATAAATATTGACTGATTATTGAGCGGCAAAGGTGCGAGCGAGAAGTATTAGTAGTTTACTCTGCAGACGGTTCGGAAAGTTGTACTTGTATAGTTCTTAATACCACATATGCACTGAAGAAGTAGTACTAATAGTTTCATGATCTGTAAAACTGCATCGGGAAAGTAATATCATCCTCTTGTACTGCAGTCGTGCCGAAGGAGGAGTACGATATCTCCGGGTCCTACCGTGACGGCATGAACATCATGGGACTCGTGTCTTTTGCCACGATGCTCGGTGTGTCTCTGTCGGTGCTGGGACCGAAGGGCAAGCCTCTGCTGGACATGTTCACCGCGCTGTCAGACGCCACCATGATCATCACATCGTGGCTCATCTGGTGGGTGACATCTTGCATGTCTTGTGGTGGGTTCTCATTTTTGGCTGATCTTGTAGACAATTGGTCTTCTTGAAAGAGATATGTTTTAGTGTTGACTTGATATTCTTGGCTCGTCTCATGGTAAGTTTGTCATTTTAACAATGGAGTGTTCTGCTGTTAACCTTATATTCTGCAGCAGACTTTGTTGACGATTGTTTTTTTTTTTTTCTCTGTCTCAGTGATGATTTGGGATTCTTGGCTGATATTGTGGGGAGTTTGTCATTTTGGCTGTTCTAGCGATGAGTTAGTATTCTTGGCTGACCCTGGGGGAATTTGTCTTCTTGGCTGTCCCATGCAGTGATGATGGAATATTCTTGGCTGATCTTGTAGGGAGTCTAACCGCTTTGCTGTTCTAGTGATAGTTTGGTATTCTAGGCTAAATCTGAGCTGACAGGTGGATGGAAGGGTAGTCTGGCGTCGTGGCAGATCTAATGGTTGATTGGACTTCTAAGTAAAGTCTGGCGTCGTGGCAGATCTAATGGTTGATTGGACTTCTAAGTAAAGTCTGGCGTCGTGGCAGATCTAATGGATGATTGGACTTCTAAGTAAAGTCTGGCGTCGTGGCAGATCTAATGGATGATTGGACTTCTAACTATAGTCTGCCGTCGTGGCAGATCTAATGGATGATTGGACNCTTCAATACCTGACCGTATACTTCAATACCTGACCGTATACGTCAATACCTGACCGTATTCTTCAATATCTGACCGTATTCTTCAATACCTGACCGTATACGTCAATACCTGACCGTATACGTCAATACCTGACCGTATTCTTCAATATATGTATATGTTAGTAGCTCACAAATTACCAGCCTCATCCGTCGTCCCGCAGGTACGCTGCCTGTGACGACAGTATAGATGATGGTATATATGTTATAGCATATCACCATATATTGCAGTATATGTTAGTATATATCTTATTAGCATGACTGTACACTATAGTATTATATAGCAACGCCATCATCCCGCAGCTCGGGCACACAGCCTGTGACGACAGTAAGTATAGATGATGTTATATGCGCTAGCATATCACCATATATAACAGTATATGTTAGTATACATGCGATTAGCATGACTGTACATTATAGTATAATAAATCACTGCCCCCCCCCCTCAGCTCTGACACGCTGCCCGTGACGCAGCATAGACGATGCTATGTATGTAATAACATATCACCATATATTGCAGTATATGTTACTATACACTAGTATATGTGCCTAGCATGACTGTACACTGTACACTATAGTATAATATAGCAACACCCCCTCCCCGCAGCTCTGGCACGCTGCCCGTGACGTTCCAGTGTCTGGAGGAGAAGAACAACATCGACACGCGCGTCACGCGCTTCGTCATCCCCATCGGCGCGACCATCAACATGGACGGCACGGCGCTGTACGAGGCCGTGGCTGCCATCTTCATCACGCAGGTCAAGAACATGTCGCTGGGCATCGGCCAGATCATTGCCATCAGGTGAGGACATGTTGGGGTTATATGAGGACATGTTGGGGTTATATGAGGACATGTTGGGGTTATGTGGCAGGCGAGGACATGTTGGGGTTATGTGGCAGGCGAGGACATGTTGGGGTTATGTGGCAGGCGAGGACATGTTGGGGTTATGTGGCATGTGACGACATGTTGGGGTTATGTGGCAAATGAGGATATGTTGGGGTTAGATGTTATATGTTGAAGTTATGTTATGTTCATGTTGAAGTTAGATGTGAGGCTAGGACATGTTGGAGTTATGTGGCATGTAAGGACATGTTGGAGTTAAATGTCATGTGAGGACATGTTGGGGTTATGTGGCAAATGAGGACATGTTGGGGTTAAATGTTATATGTTGAAGTTATGTTATGTTCATGTTGGAGTTACATGTCAGGCGAGGACATGTTAAGGTTATGTGGCATGTAAGGACATGTTGGAGTTAAATGTCATGTGAGGACATGTTGGGGTTATGTGGCATGTGAGGACATGTTGGGGTTATGTGGCAGGTGACGACATGTTGGGGTTATGTGGCAGGTGACGACATGTTGGGGTTAGACGTCATATGAGGTCATGTTGAAGTTATATAAGGCAGGGACATATAGTTGAACATATCTTATTGGCCACTGATCATCAGGGTAAAACATGTTGTTGTCTGAATCAAGTTTCCAAGATAAAATTTCACTTCCTTCATAAATTTATAATTTCCCTCATTGTATTTCCTCCCACGCCCATTTGTAGATTTCATACCCCGACATTCGGTGTGCTTTCAACACTCAACTTTGCTCATTGTTATCTTCAACTTTTGTTACATGCACGCATTATTTCTTGCCTTTCCCGCCAAAAATGTCCCCACTATCCAATGTGGCAGGTGAGGACATGTTGGGGTTATATGAGGACATGTTGGGGTTATGTGGCAGGTGAGGACATGCTGGGGTTAGATGTTATATGGTGAAGTTATGTTATGTTCATGTTGGAGTGATATGTCAGGTTAGGATATGTTGAGGTCATATATCGGGTGAGGGCATGGAGGACATGTTGAAGTTGTATGAGGCAAAAACACGTAATAGAGCATTTCTCGTTGATCACTAATCATCAAGTGAGAACAAGGTGTTTTCTTAACATCGCAAGATAAAATTACCCTTCCTTCATAAGTTTATCATTTCCCAATTTGATTTCCTCGCACGCCCATTTGTAGATTTCATACTCCGACATTTGGTGTGCTTTCAACACTCAACTCTGCTCATAGTTATTTTCAACTTTTGTTATATGCACACATCATTTCTTGTCTTTCCCCAAAAAATCTCCGAACTTTCCATCATTATTTTTTCCTCCCCACTTCTTCTTTCATCCCCCTCCCTCTCCCAATTCCCCCCAACCACCCCCACAACTCTGCCCGTGATTGTCACGGTGTGTATGTGGTAGCATTCATCCCCCTCCCTCCCCCAATTCCCCCAACTACCCCTACAACTGTGCCCGTGACTGTCACGGTGTGTATGTGGCAGCATCACGGCGACAGCGGCGGCGATCGGGGCAGCGGGCATCCCGCAGGCGGGGCTCGTGACGATGGTGATGGTGCTGGACGTCGTGGGGCTGCCGGCCGAGGACGTCACGCTCATCATCGCTGTTGATTGGCTGCTGTGAGTTGCCAATTACGTGCCAATCACGTATGAGTAACATTACATTATTGGCAATAGCGTAAAAGTTTAAAGTGGACATATTATTGCCGCGGCGTTCTAATAACCTATACTCTGATACTTATTACGCATTATGCACGACATTATATTAGTCGCGTTCATCTTACGCATCTATATAGTTCATTCCAGGCATTAATTTATCAAGTATTAGTTCAATCAAGTCATTTTAGCGCCTTGAACACAATGATGGCCAACTGAGTCTAGGGACAGGTTTAACACAGCATTATGAACCTCCTCCATGGCGCGCTCCAGTACCAATCATCCTTCCTCCATTTAGATTTAAAATTTCGATGAGTATTTTTGTTAGCGTAATCTTCATATATCTTCTGTTAATAATAGAATAATAATCCTGCTATTGCGTTACTATATCCCCAGCTGTACACTATATCCCCAGCTGTACACTATATCCCCAGCTGTACACTATATCCCCAGTTGTACACTATACGAACCCGCGCCTCTCTGCGCCAATCTTGGTACTCTGAACTGTAACCACTGGGCCACCCTGCCCTTGGTCCATTTAAATTTAAAATTTTCATGAGTATTTTTCTTAGCGTAATCTATTTATATATCTTCTGTTAATAACAGAACTTATTTATTCCTTCAACTGCATGCGTGAAAATGTTTGTACCATACAGAAGGCGGGCCCAGTGCCTCTGCCGCCATAAGTTCGTGTGTCCACTCTTAGTATTATGGTCTTATATGGGTCAGGCCTTATGTTAATTGTGTAACTTGAACATTTTGCGAAACTTGTTTATTCATTTTCATTTTTTCTATCGGCAATACTATTGTGCTTTAACATTGCCATTGTTGGTCTTTATTGACTTCGGTAATTTCATGACTCAACGATTTGCTCTAACTTGCGTTTTGCAACTTTTGCACCCAGAACTACGACAATTAATAGTCTTCAATGAAAATTTAATAGCTTTACAATGTGTTCCTGTACTCTATAATATACCTGTATAATGTAACCCCAAGCAGTACACTATATCCCCAGCTGTACACCATATCCCCAGCTGTAATCTATATCCCCAGCTGTACACTATATCCCCAGCTGTACACTATATCCCCAGCTGTACACTATATCCCCAGCTGTACACTATATCCCCAGCTGTACACTATATCCCCAGCTGTACACTATATCCCCAGCTGTACACTATATCCCCAGTTGTACACTATATCCCCAGCTGCACACTGTATCCCCAGCTGTACACTATATCCCCAGCTGTACACTACATCTCCAGCTGTACACTATATCCCCAGCTGTACACTATATCCCAAACTGTACACTATACCCCCAGCTGTACACTATATCCCCAGCTGTACACTATACCCCCAGCTGTACACTATACCCCCAACTATACACTATATCCCCAGCTGTACACTATATCCCCAACTGTACACTATATCCCCAAAGCTGTACACTATATCCCCAGCTGTACACTATATCCCCAGCTGTACACTATATCCCCAGCTGTACACTATATCCCCAAATGTACACTATATCCCCAGCTGTACACTATATCCCCTGCTATACTCTATATCCCCAGCTGTACACTATATCCCAAGCTGTACACTGTATCCCCAGCTGTACACTATACCTCCAGCTGTACACTATATCCCCAGCTGTACACTGTATCCCCAGCTGTACACTATACCCCCAGCTGTACACTATATCCCTAACTGCACGTTCACTGTTAGAAAAAACGGTGAAAAAACGGTTTCTTTTCACGTGCCGACCGGCCACTGAAACGCCGGTAATACCGTTAACGGTCATTTTTCTAACAGTGTTGTACCTCACAGGGATCGCTTCCGCACGATGATCAACGTGCTGGGCGACAGCATCGGTGCAGGGCTGGTCTACGAGCTCAGCAAGAAGGAGCTCGAGGAGATGGACGCCGCGGCGGCCGCTGGTGCGCGTCAAGGCGGTAGCGAGAACATCGCTCTCGACAACATTGAAACCTGCAAGATGTAACAACATCCGCCCTCTGTTGTCCGAACATTCTAGGAGTCTAAACTTAAACCTTTTGTTATCAGCGTTGAAGTGAGCAAGATGTAGAGACATCCGCCCTCTGTTGTCATCGAAATGTGTAAAATGTAGAAACATTCATCCTCTGTTATCCAAACATTCTGAGAGTTTAAACTTTAACCATCTCTTGTCCAAATTTACATATGTGAAAACGCCGCCCTTTCGCCAAATCTGGTCGTTTATGTATGAGAATATATTAGCTTCACGATTTGATCGTTTAAAACAATGTAGAGGTCGCTTGCTTGTTATTCAATACTGGTTTTTTTACATTTAATGTAAATAATATCCTTCTTTAATCGCACCATCTAACGACCATGCATAGATGATCTTCTGTATCTGTTTGGTGACTCGTACACAGATTTTCTGCAGCATCGCACTGTATCTACAAAAATTTCTTAGAATCTTCTTTTTCTATTCTCATAGGGAAAAATATTTGTAATTTCAACTAATTCACATATAAAGTTCTTCCATTGATGTAATAAGCAAATTGAGATGCTGCGAGGGCGCCGTTCTCATACACGGCCCGAGGAGTCGATGGGTTCCACATGATGCCAGAAAATGAAAATAATTTTTAAATTAAATCTAGGCTGCAGTCATCTAAATTGGAATACTGGAATTCTATCATGATCATTTAACCCAGAGCAAAGTGGTTAGAATTAATCAAAATGTAAGTTTTTAACATAAATGAATATTTGAATATTTTCATGCAGGCGTTTGACTAAACTGGTCTGTACTGCTCCGTTTGTTGTACTAAGTTAGATAATTATAAAATAATCAATATTTGTCGGTGTGGCCTTAAATTGATAAACGCGGAGAATTTCGATTGATATGTTCTTAGTTCGAAACTTTTGTTCGGACTTACTTCGACGAACACAAAGGCTGACCAGTCAATTGAAACATCAAATATTTATTTCTCCATCACAACGAATCAGTTCTCCATCGGAGCTTGATTGTTCACAGTTCTCACCTGTTCTGGTTAATATTTTCCGTTGCCAAAAATTTCATAACTTGTTATGTTATGTGCAAATATAATTTATCCGACCGTACCTCTCGCTTGGTATATTAAATATACTGGCTCATATGAAAGAGAACATGATGCACAATTCTAGCAGTTTCTGTATTTTGTAATTATTTTTAAATTTTATCAGCGTTGAGACTACGCCGTTGCACTGCCATTTTCTTCCAACTAAAAATTAGTCTTATCAATTCTTCAGTTTCTTATTAGCAATTCTGCATGACAATTAAATGTGTAATAATTTGAACTTTCTCCAGTATTATCTATTGTGACGGAAGTACATGACTTTTCTATTACTTTTATAAACTAAATTAATTAATGTCGGTTTTTAAAACATACTTCTAAGTTAATGCTCGGCTCTAAGCATCTAATAATCTTTATTTGGCTTAGATTGGGCTCCTTATTTTGCGTACGTTTGTATTTCTTATCATACATAACACGGCTCATACATAACACGGCTCATACATAACACGGCTCATACATAACACGGCTCATACATAACACGGCTCATACATAACACGGCTCATACATAACACAGCTCATACATAACACGGCTCATACATAGCACGGCTCATACATAACACGGCTCATACATAACATGGCTCATACATAACACAAAGTTTGATCACGGCTGCTTCAGACTAATGTGGTTTGATCGCTCATTTCAATGGTCATGCAATAGCAACACTTTTGTCACTGTTAATTCTAAATTATATTGAAATCCATCTGATTATTGAGACTCAATATGGCTTCGTCAGATCGGAAAGAAAAACCTTGGATATCCTCCGAACCATCGACATACAATGTCCTGTTAATGGCGCTCGATATATTATAAGTTAGTACGTTACCTAAATAATTGAGATCAATTAATACTGTAAGACCACACTGTAATTAGGTATATATGAGCTGGCGGCTTTAGAGTTAACATCAGTTCTTCTTGTATTGACTTTTGTCTTTGTTATACTATTGGCTATATTAGGGCGACCCTGCAAGCGATAGTGAAATGAGGCATTTTATTGAGTAAAAATGTGTAGTTAGAGCCAAGAACTTGCCAATATTGTGCTGATACATTGTGCCATGAAGACTCAAGAACAGGCCATATTGTTCTGACACATTGGGCCGGTAGGACCCAAGAACAGGCCAATATTGTTCTGACACATAGGCCCGGTAGCGATAGGACCCAAGAACAGGCCAATATTGTGCTGACACATAGGCCCGGTAGGACGCAAGAACAGGCCAATATTGTGCTGACACATTGTACCTAACTTGGCAGCAGATGCCGGTCCTAAAATTCTCTTATAAACTTCATCGTTCTTCAGAGGGAGCTATAACCTGGGATATTGTCACCGGGCCTAATGAATTCTATTCTATTATTTCCATAGTTATTTTATTACTATCTAACGCACAAATGTTCAACTTAATTTGTTTGTCAATGAATACCTTATCATGTGTCTTCTCTATTTGCAAGGTTATCATACAATACCATCCATTTAAGAGTAAGCTTAAATCATCATCGCGTTAGTTCTGAACTGTTAGAGTTGATGGCATTGATATGACATATATAAGTATCCATAGTTGTTAAGTAGCCCGCTGCGTGTGTAGTTCGTTGTAGCTCAACCGGACTGGTCTGACTCCAGGGCTGGTCTGACTCCAGGACTGGTCTGACTCCAGGAATGGTCTGACTCCATGACTGGTCTGACTCCCAGACTGGTGTGACGCGACCAGAGTTAACAGGCCTTCTGATTTGCTCGTTCTGGTTCATAATCCTTAAGCTATCCAGAAAGGCCAGTTTTCTTAAATAAGTTCTATTCTATTTATTTTGCCTGACCTTTAACGGCCAAGCAAATAAACCATATGATCAAACACACAGGCCGCCATATGCCTAAAAACTACGTCCCATTAAATCAAAAGTAGAAGCCCCTAAGGCTCAATGTCGTTTTGCAAGCTATATTTTAATGATTAATCATCGTAAGCTAGTTGTATTGATGCATCTTGTGTGCGTTTACAATGTAAATAGGAGCCTCTGTTGTTGTCTGCAGCGTTTCCTGTTTAGTTTACCTGCATCGACGATGGTATCTGTTGTTGTACGACTCCTTCTGTTATGTTTCGGCCAACGTTTGACTTATTTAAGTGTTTTTTCTATTGGTGTTAATAACTAACTTGATTTATTGCAAGTTCACATCTCTAAATTATTATGAGAAACATTAAACAAAGTTTACAGCGCCTAGTTCCGTTATTTCTATATGCACCACAACATCCAATTGTGTTTTTCTGCATCCTGACATTTTTGGAAAATTATTAAAGCTATTCTCTCTGCTATCGTCTCAATGCTTCTTTCGACTGAATACAGAGTACCGAACGAATTATTCAGTTAATAACAATAAGGTTAACAATATTTCTAAATAATTAATAATTGATGGTTTCTCTGTTACATCAAAATGTATGTATTCAATAACATAACCCGCCTAGAGACAGTTTTCTAAGCGCAAATGAGTAAAATATCCCTGTAATAACTCATAGGTAAATCATCAAGTAGGTAGAATAAGATTAGCTGTTTCCATGTTCTCAAGAACAATGTTTGTCATTTGTTATGTTACGGCAATAAAGTACTGATGTCTCCAATTTTGTTCATTTAAAGTTGTTGGTTAAACTGGATGTTATGACCCTGAGTTATAGTTTATAAAAATCCAAAAGGTCGATCCTAAGTCTGATGTGGTCTTTTATTTATCCCTAATCTCAGAATTTATAGCCAGTTCGAGCTATTTGATTGCAAACAATTCGTTGTGATGAAGACCGGAGATTGAACAGAATTGTGGAGGTTGAAGAAGAATAAGCGCGATAATTCAAATGAATATTGATTGTGCTTAGTTTATCATAATCGACATTCGTTGTTCCTTACTGCGCTTAGAACTTCAAAAGGTGTAAAGTGTGTTAGAAAATAATAAGTACAAAATTTACAACGAAACAATGAAGTTTGAATTGAATTGCAAACCGGGAGTTCAATGTTTATGTCAAGCTACAAGAAAGTTTGGAAAAATGGCGCTTCACTAGATACGTACATTATTACATTTGATATGATAAGATTGGATAACGGCATTATTGAACTGCAAAAATTATCAATTCCGTGCAGTGGTGACGAAAGCTATTACTTTGTCTTCCATTTGTGCAGCAGTCACATATAAAAAAATAATCTTCAATTTATTAATTCATTTGCGAATTAATTTTTTATTTGTGCAGCTGGTACGTATTAAAACTACAAGATCAGATCTGGTTTTTATTATCCATTTCGTATAATCTACGTAGTGATAAATCACTTCTGATTTCTTTCAACGCGGAATCAACTGATAAACGGAAATTACTATACCGCGGCATTCAGTGAATCTTTTATTCGCCACGTGGTTTACTCGAACCCAATCATGCTATTCGTATCGTATTAGCCATAGGGTTAGGGCAGTCCAGTTACTCCAGTTATGACTTATGAGACTTCGGTTGGTAAAGCTGCTCGTTGCTGTGTTACGTGATCTTCTATTTTTTAACGAATACAACGTGACTATTGTTTGTATTTGATAGCGATAGCATCCATAATTACTTAATTAGAAAACTGCTCAGCAGTCTCATTTTTTTTGTTAGATTTCCAACATCACCCAAAGCCAAATGTGTTGAAGTTCTGCAGGACTGAAATCTCGTGGCTTCGGCTCCTGCCGCGCCGCCTGCACACGTTTTGCTTGTAAATTTGTAATTCTGTAGCATTGCATGATCTTAAAATGGTAGTTAGGACTTAGGTCTACTATCAATCTTCTTGTTAACCTCTTCATATGAATGATATGATCATAGCCGTTTTGTCAGACAGAATTTATTTAGCCATCAGGCGTCAAAGTATCAAATAATTAATAATGATTAAACTTAGTAAACTAGGTACAACAAACTCAGCCCCATAACAAAAAGTGAAAGTAAAACTGATGATAATGTAATGAATTATGAAAATAATTTTTTTATTTATCTCAAAGTTTGTGTGTTCAAATTTCCTAGTCTTATACATACATTACCCATATTTATGTAAACCAATAACTTTATAAAACATGGTTGTAAATTTCCTCGGTAGCTAGTTGATGGACTAGGGAGATGGACTCTATGCTAAAATCTAGTTTCTTTAAATTGACATTTTTTTAAAATTTGGATGACATAGGAATCTTGTAGCTAGATTGCACACTTTTGTCATAAATTAGATAGGAAATGATTAATCTACTGGCAAATGGCAATTCTGCAGCTACCATCAAACGCAAACAGGGCAATAAGGGATGGGCAGGGTACCTAAATCAGGACAGTCGTCCAACATTTCGTAGAAATGTTGTAGCAGCTAAACTAATCAAAGCATTGCAAAACCAAAAATAGTTGCATAAAGTTTAATATTTTTCCTATCTATGTAGTATAAAGCTAAAGCAAGTTAGGAATTCATACATTTACTACCTCTAAAAAATCCCTGAAAAAAGGGTGAAAAGTAAGATTTTGGAAACGTATCTCTGCAGGGCTGGAAAAGTCCTATTTTTTATGAAATACCGCAGCTCTAATATCATATAATTTTAGTAAGTATGAAATCTGGCGGTTTGAATGTCATTAACTTTTGTTTGATAGAAAAATCACAGTTTGCCCGTCTCAAATGTGTCATTTCATAAAATGTCAACTTCCGCATTTTGCATTACTTTACCGTTCCTGCCAAAATATCCTGCAGAATGTAATCATTGTAATGATAACAAGTCAACCTACCGTCAACCGGGGCTACTCGGGACCTAGTCTGGAAAAGTCCTATTTTTGTCTGAAATATCGCGGCTCTAATATCATATAATTTCAGTAGGTATGAAATCTTGCGGCTCGAATATGTGTTATACGATCGGTCCATAAAGAAGTGTTGATCGGTTCAAAATGACATAAGAACAGGTTCTTTTGAATAACCTATGGATTGGCACCATGCTGTATAGATATGGTAATATATCAATAAAGGAAAAACAAGTAAAAATGAGGGAAAATGTCCTTTATTCTACATCTACATCATCTACATACTGTTAGTAATAGATGAGTATACTTTGCATGCTTCAAACGTTTTAAAATTGAGTTTTATTTCAAGTATCCTGGATTACCCCGTTGCAAGGGGTATTTTGGGATGCTTTTATTTTGCGTCTGGTACCTTAAGAATAGCATATAGAATTTTTTTAGAGAGGCTATTTGATAGCCCCTGCAAAGAGCTTCAACATGAGCCCAAACTTGTTTACGAAATGTTTCATGGAAAGAAGTTATTAATGAAAAACACTCAAAACTTTCCCTTATTACCCCATTTGATGGTAACATTTTTATGCCATGATGGAGGACTGTCCCAAAGCCCAATTTACTCCACCAGTCCTTTTTTACCCTGTTTGATGATACCTGGTGCATCTTAAACAATTTTGGAATATTGCAGCTTGATGTTGCATATTAGTGAAAAATGAAATAGGACATAAATACTTCATCCAGCAGGAATCTCATGGACATGAAAGTCTATGACATGAGTTTCATTGCTGTCAGCTTAATCTCACTCTTGTATCTCCATCTGCAGATATCTCTTATCAAACATGGGTGACATTAATAACAGACTCTTTGGAGAGTGTTTTGAAATTATTGTTGGCACAAATGAAGAGTATATACTTGCTTTCAACATCAAATATGCCAAGGTTGGTTTATGTGTAATGTAAGGTAATATTTATTGGATAATCTTGAAATAAAATTTCTATTTATTGTGATATTCTATCTTGATAATACCAGCTCTGTGTATTTATAACTGCTTCAATTCTTCTATTTCTTAAAAAATGAAAATAGATATTGCAGAGGTGCTTTGTAATTTTTAATTCCTTCTACTTCACTTCCAGGAACAACCAATTATTTTTGTGCTGATTTTAGAACATTTCATCACCATTTTTGATGCACCCTGCAATATATGCAAATTATGGACAACTGAAACCAGTATTTAAACAATACCTGGATACTAGACATTGCTATCATTTGACATTCAGTTTAAAATCACCTACATGATCTGCATCTCTGTTACTACCAAACTTCTCCCAAGTTATTTACATCTCTCTCATTATTGCTTTAAATTAGTGCAATTACTATTATGCATTTTCCTTACAGTTTCCACTGAAAAAATTTTCTGTTTCATATACATCTAAAAAATATATGATTTGCTAAAAGGTATAATTCTGAAAAAATAATAATATTCACATATGGAATAATGTGCAGCTTTTGTTGTGTTTACGTGAACTCTTGTCTCCAGGATGGGCATTTTACGCTCAATTCAGCTTTTGCAAGCCACAGTCACTGCAGCGGCATCAGGAAGCTGACGATTTGTGGACCTCACATCGTCTCTGGGGGAGTTGATGAGATGGTCCATGTGTTCAATTTAAAGAAGCGCAACAAGATTGGTGTTATTGGTGAACATGAAGGTAAGTAAGGCTGTCATTGGTGTTATTGGTGAACATGAAGGTAAGTAAGGCTGTTATTGGTGAACATGAAGGTAAGGCTGTTATTGGTGTTATTGGTGAACATGAAGGTGAGGCTGTCATTGGTGTTATTGGTGAACATGAAGGTAAGGCTGTCATTGGTGTTATTGGTGAACATGAAGGTAAAGACGTCATTAGTGCTCAAAGTAAAATCATGTTTTTGTGTTGTTACATGAAGCTGTCTTTTGATTTTAATGTTGTTGGTAAACATGAAAATATATTTTTTATATATGTATTGTTAGTAAAACATAACTTTTTTTTAATTGATAAACATGAATATGTTGCATTTTTTGTGCTGTTGGCAAGCAAGATTGTTTTGTAATCTTTGTGTTAAAATAGAATGTAATAGAAAAATGTAGTAGAATGGATATTATATAAATTAACAGGAAGCTCTGTGATATTTTTATTTTCTACAAAATGTCTGCTAATCAAAAGTGTTCTTTCTATCAGAATAAATTTGAAATTATGCATTATAAGAAATCTATAATTCACATAAAATTGAACATTACAACTTTTGCACCTTCTTTTGAATCATTACTCAATTGCAGATTCTCTTCTAGTTATATTCATGTTCTTTTCCAAACAATGTGTTCAAGCCTTATCTTCCACTGGAACAAATGTACAAACTTAATTAATTGTGAATAATTATTTGTATATATTAGTTATTGTTATTTTAAAGGCACCATCACAGATCTGCAGCAACACAAACAGAAATATGTTTTCTCAGCGTCTGAAGATGGAAAAATTTGTATATTCCTGGAAGGCAAATGGGAGGTGCGTAAATAATGACATTTTCATCCTTCCCTTGATTATTCCCAGCTTGAACCGGAAGCTCTGTTATGTTGCTTCATTGATATTCAGTTCACTTGAAATTTTTTATTATTTTGTGTTGCTATTGACTTCTTACATCACAATAATTTTTGTACTTGAATATTTGAAGAATGTAATGATACATTTCTTTCATCTATCAAAGTGCATTTGACATTCATGAAAACATTATGAGGTTGATTCCAACATTTTATAATTTAATGGCCATTTACTCATAATATTTAATAATATTACTGTGGTATTGCACTAAATCTTGTGCTCCTCTGTTACATCTACATATTTTTATGAAAATGTCCCCATTGGTGGAACTAATGAATTTTCATTTCATAATTAATTACTATTTGACCGTAATAAGTATTAATGAAATAAACCAAGCTCTGCAGTTCATGACAAAGCTAACAGCATATATCGATATTAGTTTTAATTGGTAGTAATGCTAGCTATTGATTTTTCATTATCCTTCATAGAACTAGATTATGTATTACTCCATCCCAACCCATCAATATTTTTAAATATCCAGATATAATTTAATCTGTGATTCAATAATACTATACGGCCACTCATGGTACACAGTGTGAGAAGAAGCTCATCGGACACAAAGGAACCATCAACAGCGTAGCCGTGCACCCCACGGGACGTCTCGCCATCTCCGTAGGCCAGGACCGCACGCTGCACACCTGGGACCTCATCAAGGGCAGGAAGGCTTACGTCTCCAACCTTCATGAAGGTAGGGTGCTATGTTGGGGCCCCAGTGGGGGTAACTTGCTATGTTGGGTAATCGTGTAACTAATTTCCAAAAAATTAGTAATCGTGCATTTATTTGCATGTTTAATTGCTCATCCTATAGTAGTCAACACAGTTATTGAATAACAAGACTCACATTTACCTCACTTTAATATCTTTTAACTATTATTTATATGCATAACTATTTTATCCATAACTATTTATATCCATATTTATATCCATAACATATAACAACTGTTGCAGTTGGCTCAATAGTGAAGTGGTCGCCCAGCGGGGAGGAGTACGTGGTGGTCGTGGACAGCAGAGTGGACCTGCACGCCGTGCAGTCCGCGCACACAGCGAGCTACTCGCACGACTTCTTCGTGCGCATCAACGACATCGCCTTCCTACAGGTCTTCTATTGCTAGGGATCTCGCTCATACATATAATTAATGCCAGACTTTCTGTATGAATTCTTTCTATTTTGTGGAGGTGTTGACTCCAGGTCTTGTCTGCTAGGCATCTCGCTCATACATATAATTAATGCCAGACTTTCCTTATGGATTCTTTCTATTTTGTGGAGGTGTTGATCCAGCAATACACTGCACTAGATTGTTTTATTGTTGATAAATTTATTTTGTGAAGGTGGCAATCCAGCAATATACTGCTGCACTAGATTGTGTTATTGTTGAACGCGGTGTTCAGTTTTGCAGTGAGCTACCCGTGAATTGTATCATGTTGGTGGCCTTAAGTAAAATTTATGCACAATCATTGAAAATCTTTCTATGAATTCTTCTCAGTTTGTAGAGATGTCAATCCTGCACTGCAATTTAACTGCTTTGATTTTTGTGGTAAAATATTCAATGGGTTACCCATCAATTGCATGTATTTGCTTGTAAATAGTTTATAGAACCTTTGAAATGGTGCATATTCGTTTCTTATCCTCACTCGTGTCTTTTTCTTTCACTATAAAACTTATTCGTACTCTCTCAATGTGTAACGACCCCTCTAAGTTTGGTTGACCAGACGTCACAACAATCACTTTGTAGTATAATAAAAATAATAATGATAACAATAATAATAATCATTTTGTGAATATTAAGGGTACTAATATAGTAACTGGCAATAATAACAATAATGATAATTTTGTGTTGCGTTGCTGAGGAGAAGGTGCTGCTGGTGGCGTACTATAATAAATAATAATAATAATGATTTTGTGAATGTTAAGGTCACTAATATAGTAACTGGTAATAATAATAAATAATAATAAATAATAATAACAATAATAATAATACTGTTGCGTTGCCCAGGAGAAGGTGCTGCTGGTGGCGCTGGAGAACGGCCGTGTGGCGGTGCACGACTTAGCTGCGGGGGCGACGCTGCAGGCGTGGGAGGCGCACAGCAACAGAGTGCGCGCCATGGACCTAATGCCCCCCGCCGCCCCCCACACACACCCCAGATACTACCTCGTCACGGGGTCCTCTGATGGCTGGGTCAAAAGCAAAACCTGATAAATTTCGTCACCTTTGATGTACCAATCTAAACTCGTGTTCCTGTCATCCCTGCATAGAGTAACGCATGTTAACGATGTGAGCTAGCGCTATCAACTAAATAATTTGTGTGTAACTGATTATTCATGCTGTTGAGAATGTGTGGGCTGAGAGACCGTATGTTACAATCGAATTCGAATGACTTGTGATTAACTTGAATAACTGATGCATAGGAACCATTAGACAACGGGAGTAAATGTTATCATATTACAAGAGTATGGATAACGGAAGTAAGTTTGTCCATATTAAATTGTTTTTGATAACGTGAGTGATTGTTCAAATAAAAGAACTTGAGGGAAACTAGGTAAATTTTATCCAAAAATGGTAACTTGTTGGTAACGGTAGCTGTTGAAGAATGTGTGTACATTTTATCTTCGTGTTGCAGAAGGATGACCTGAGTGAGCCCGCGGAGTGCGTGAGCGCGAAGGACACGCAGTGCAGGATTACGTGCCTCGTGGTCTACACGGACGCGCACTACAAGGAAGCAGTCAAGAGCCGCACGCTCGACCAAGTCAACGTCAAAGTCAACCGCATGATGCTGCGTGGCAAGCGAACCAAGTCAAAGACCAAGCGCGTCAAGCGTAGAGCAGACGACGACGACGATGATGACGAGATAGACGAGACGGAGTTCAAAGAGAAGGTCAAGGTGGAGTACGTACCCGTGCCCGTACCCAAGAAGAAGAAGAGGGTGACCATCGTGGAGGACGAAGAGGAGGAGGATGATGAGGAGGACGAAGAGCACATAGACAGCCAGGTGGAGGTGTACACGGGGTACCAGGCCCTGAAGATGATGGGGCTGGCCAAGGAGGAGAAGGAGACTGAAGGAACTTCCGTCAGAAAGAACAGAGGCAAAGTTCCTAAGCGGTTCACTGAGTGATACGCAGCGGTGTAGATGTAGCGGCAGATTGTAACATTATATAGTGACACGTTGAATTTTATGCGTTTCATTTATTGGATGTTGTGATAGAGGCATCTTATTGTTCATTATACATTTGTTCCTCATGGGAAGACACTGTAAGGTTCAAATCATTACCATGACGCGGAGGAGAGCTAGGAAATGAGTAAGTCATGCAAGTCTATAACTTTATTTGAATTTATTAGTAGCAATACTCACATGAAATGCTAAACTTATACAAAGTACTTCATTATTCAACAAATGATAAAAATCAAAGCACTAAATGTGTTTCTAAATTACACGACGTAAGCGCAATGTACAAGACGCTAGCAACGGTGGTAGCGATGTTCGCGGACCGTTAATTCTGCACAATATCATTCTATTAATTCTCAACAATTGCTTCGGTATTATAATTAAAATTTCCTCGATCAGGATTTCGGCAAATGTGGCGGTAGATATATCAGCTTCTTAGTTTAATTGCCAAGTATTACCCACAACAATTACCATCTATTGCACGTCAAATAAAACTATAAAAAAAATTATTGAGTGACTAAGTTAATAAAATAATCATGAATTGACCAAGTTGCATTGAATATAACATTGCCTTGCATACAACATTGCATCGAATAAAACATACATGAAGTCGATCCTCATGAAAGAGATACTGATAAGGTCGCAAATTTGTCGTATTGAGAGTTAGTTTAGTGGCCACATGTTTACTAGCACTTCAGCCAATTTGCTAACTCACCGAAAATCAAGATGAACATCAGGTGCAAGATCTCAATTATTGAAAGTTTTCAAAATCAAAAGTTTGTCATCACCCACAAAGGGCAGGAGATCTCAGATGTCCAGCCCGCTGAAGCTGGCTCGAAAGAAGCAGCGTTAGCATCTCAAAGAGACGAAGTGACAAGGAGGCACAGGAGAAGAGCAACAGAAACGAAGACACTTGAACAAGAGGTCACTTACATGGGACGTCGGCCTCCCGCACGAGAGAGTCAGAGAAGGGAAATGTAAGGAATCCTGCCTACATAATAACTTGATGTGAAGAATCCTACCTACATAATAACTTGACCCCACAACTTAGAACCGCGGTCAGATTCTGCGAGCTGAGCGGTGGGGCGCTCAGGAACAACCCCCCTGGGAACGAGAGACGCTCACCTCCCATGAGTACAGACCTGCGTCAGCAGACCTCCTGAGGTCGGGATGTGAGTGCCGTGCACACGACGACGGTAAGACAAATACACCGTGTAGCAGGTTACGGGTTAGTGATTGGCAGGTTCAGCTGCAATCACGAGGATTGGCTGCGCAATCACGAGGATTGGCTGCGCAATCACGAGGATTGGCTGCACAAATATTGGTTGAAAAAGTACAAAGATCGGGTGCTTAAAGAAAAAGATTGGTTGCAGGATTCATGATGCCCTCAATTCTTTTGCATGACGCAGGATTAAGACAAAATGGCTGTATAAGACGAACACAAACTAACGAACTCTAGTTAATATAATGCAACGACATACTAACGTGCATAGTTGTGCTGGGGCTGAGATCAGGCCTTGTCTCGCCGGTCGTTGCAACACAAAATGTACACAGCTAGCTGGGTCTCGAAACCGCTTCAATCTTCGTGACCTCAACCACTCAGCCACTCCGCGGCGGCAGTCGACACTAAACCTAATGAACTTTTCAATAAAACATTTCAGTTACCTCCCAAAAAATTCTCAAACTTTTATCTTGTAAATGTAGTCTCACACCACAATACACTCAACTAAAGAACAAACATGAATAGTTCAGCCAGACTTGAGTATCTGAATAACATACGCTCGCTTCTGGACAAATGTTCTAAGTTTATGTCTTTTATTCTGGGAACTCCAATAGAAACTCGTAGAATAATAACAGGTATGGGTTGATAGAGGTTAATTCGTCGTTACACACCGCAATGATAATAACAATATAATAAGAACCAAGGCTCAGGCTTCGCGTTCATAGAGGAGTTTTAATTTCGTAATGAGAATGAACGCAAAAATAAAAAGCCAGACATTCTGAATGTTTGATAAATCATAATGCAATTAAGCGCGTCAAGTGCCACTAAAATGGTCAGGATTCTGAAGGATTCTTATACGAATTCATCATCAGAATCTGAAGATAAAATATGAACTGAAAGCACACGATTGAAACCCATGCTTCTGAATGGGAATTTTGTAAAAATATTGCCGTTTATTCCCGAACAGAAAAATTTTTACTTACTTTTGTAAGATAAATGAATATAAGCCTAATGTAAAATGAATATAAGCCTAATGTTTTTGAACACAATTGCAAGTGCCAGTTCGTATACAAATACTAAACTGTGATCAACTTTAACCAAACAATCATGAAGACAATGAAAAGAAAAAGCGCGGGCTTAGCCTGTTGGCATCCGAGACGAACCGCTGCCACCATTAAATTTACGCCGAAAAAAAGAAAGTTAATAAATAAAAATTACAAATAGAGATAAAATATTCCAATCAATTGCTAACATCGCTTTGCTGCCAAATTTCCTACGACGACATCACTGAACAGATTACATCAGCCGTCACTTGGTGCATTGGCTTATGAGCGCCTGGTGAGGAGAGGAGGAGGTTTATGAGCGTTTGTGAGGAGTGTAGTTACTTGCTCCCTCACAGCTGTTACTTTATAACATAATACATTACATACTTACTTTTATCATATTATTATTATATCAGAGTATACATTACTTTCAACATCACTAAATTATTCAACACTTTTGTTTGATGATAAAAAATTACTGAATTTGAAAAAGGGAAAATCTTCCTGCATTTATAAGTAAATAAATATATGAGTGAAGTAGTCATTCTCATATTTCGTGTTAAGAACAACATACAACATTGTCTTGCATACAACATTGAAGAGAAAACAACATAAATGCGTATGGTTCGCTGCACTGCAACATAACAATAAGTCATATTTTTCCACGTGAAAAAAAAAATAACATTTTGGCACACATTTAAGTATGAATTTGTTACGTGCAACTGTAGCCTCGTTAGTTAGTGATGATAGTGAGTGTTTGTGACAACATCGCTGGTGACCACATCACAGTCATCTTTGTTGTGATAGAACCGAAATAGAACCACACGGTTCACTTGACGGTACCTAGAACCACACGGTTCACTTGACGGTACCTAGAACCACACGGTCCACTTGACGGTACCATGTCGCCATGTACACACTAGTGTCGCCATGTGTACTAGTGCCGCCATGTGTACGGTACTTGTGTCGCCGTGTGTGCCTGTGTCGCCATGTGCACACTCTTGCCGCCATGTGTACTTGTGTCACCTTGTGTACTTGCGCCGACATGTGTACACTTGTGTCGCCATGTGCACTTGTGTCGCCATGTGTACTTGCGTCGTCATAAGCACCACAGGCATATGTTTGAGCAAACACCCTGTTATGTTGTACATGTTTGACGGGGCAGCGCAATAATGTTTGGGGCAATCATTGGGGCATCATAAAGAGGACATGAGGAGATGGAGATGTCGGGGGAGGGGAAACCGGGGATATGGGGAGTGGACATTAATTATAGAGATAATTCACGTGCAGTGTTATGTTCAAGGGATGCACAAGGATACTAAGGAATTCATCCAGCATCAAATAAGGGGACAATGAGAACCGCTTTAATAATAAATGAACCACAAATAACAGAATATACGAGCCTCAAATATCGTATTATAATAATGAGAGAATCGTAAAATCACTTAAGGCGCACAAATTTCAAAAACTATATTATAGGATAATCGCAAAATAATCACAAATGTGATTATTTGCACAAATATGCAGCCAAGTTAGGGACAGTAAATACGATTATGGCTGATAAATGGCAAAAGTTCTGTGCAAAATGTTTTTAAATGACCTTACGAAACTCTGGTACCACGCAGGTTTCTGACGCGGAGCCCTATATACACTAGGCTTGCAGTTCTGCATGGGTCTGTTTATGGCTACCCGATCAAAATCAGCTTCTGATCAGAATCTCGTTTCCCATTTTATAGTCGCCTAAGAGTATGACACGTGCGTCTAGAGAGTATAGCATGTGTACCTTAATTGATAGAAACAAGTGTGCCCTGATAGTAAGACAAGTGCGTCCGGAGAGTATGATAAGTTTCTCCTGAGAGTTAGACAAGGATTAGCCGAATCTTGCCAAGCTTGCAAACAGCCCGTACGCTGCATTTTAAACCCAGAGCCAAAGCGGACATTAGCGGCTGATTTACGCACTCCCCGAGTCTAGGGCGGCACCTGCTGCAGATGCAGAGTCGGGGCCTGCATCCAAATTTTGTTAGGGTGAGAACCAATGATTTTAGCTGCAGTGTAACTGCTGCGTGCTGAGGGCCGCTGCAGTGTAACTGCTGCGTGCTGAGGGCTGCTGCAGTGTAACTGCTGCGTGCTGATGCAGTGTAACTGCTGCTGCTGGCACTGCTCAAGCCACCGCAGTGCACGAGTAAAAATTAGTCTTAATTTTTAATTAATTAAGTTCAATTATTAGTCTTCATTTTAAAAAGTTCAATGCTACAAATGATCCAGGATCGGGACATAGACAAACCTAAAAAATGGACATAAAATTAATCTATGAAACTCATCCTTTAAGCTTTTAAAATATTAATAAATAGCAGAGCAGGAGAATGTGACGGCGGCAGACTTAATATTTAAGTAGAACTCTTAAGTAGTTTAAGTCGTTAGAAGCGAATAGCCTAAAATGAATAAGATGTCATTTGACAAAACCGTTCCAAAAATACAACTTTGAACGAACCTACTATACAAACATCGGTCTTGATAACATATACAATCCAGTTTGTGTTAAAACAAAGTTAAATCAACGTACATAAAATGGCGCAACTACGGGACAAAATGTTTTTCATCATCTTTCATCTGAAGGAAACTTCGCTACAGAGAAGCCAATATTGCGAGCAGCTGCAGCAGTTGTAGCAGGAGATCTGGTTAATTGGTTGACTGCTTGGCAGCTGCAGCAGCAGATGCAGCAGCAGCAGATGCAGCAGCAGCAGATGCAGCAGCAGCAGATGCAGCAGCTTCAACAGATGCAGGATCAGCACGGTTGAACTCCACCTGGTCGCTCACGACGCTCTTCTTCGGCTTGAAGGCCATCATCTCCTTGTACACCAGCTCTGCACCACACAATTACGGTATTTAATATATTAAAATACAAGCAATTTTCTATCATCATACTCTCATCGATGGGTCAATAATAGACAAGAAATTTTTATAAAATATGCAATTACTATTAATAACATTATAAACATGAAAAAACTATTTGTCGCATTTCCGGACATCACAGATGTTAGAAAAGATCCATAGTGACTCTATCCCACCATGGATCATCAGTCACCATCCAGCATCATCATTGTTTATTATCATTTAATTATAAATTGAGATAAGCAACCATTAACATTGTCTACACGCCCCACCTTTCCAGCGGTCAGTGGGCAGCTCCATGTCCTCAAAGCCCTCTACACGCCCCACCTTTCCAGCGGTCAGTGGGCAGCTCCATGTCCTCAAAGCCCTCTACACGCCCCACCTTTCCAGCGGTCAGTGGGCAGCTCCATGTCCTCAAAGCCCTCTACACGCCCCACCTTTCCAGCGGTCAGTGGGCAGCTCCATGTCCTCAAAGCCCTCTACACGCCCCACCTTTCCAGCGGTCAGTGGGCAGCTNCTGTCTCTTATACACATCTAGATGTGTATAAGAGACAGAGGTAGGGGTGCGCCAGCGCCCCCCTCGCCGTGATGCGAGCCTCGCTGTCTATCTCCAGCATCCGCTCCAGCAGGTCAATTGCTGGCATAATTATTGTTACTATTATTATTATTATTATTAACTTAGATGATATTTAATATTATTATATTAATACACATCTTTACAATTCAGAAGAAATGTATATACATGCACGCCTCACTGTCCATCTTTAGCATCCGCTCCAGCAGGTCAATTGCTGACACAATTATAGTTATTATTATTAACTTAAATGATATATAATATTATTATATTAAATATATACATCGTAAAATTTCACAAGAAATGTATATACATGCTAGCCTCACTGCCGGTCTCGAGCATCCACTCCAGCAGGTCAATTGCTGGTAGTTATTAGTTATTATCATGATTAGTTTAAATAACATAAATCAATATACATCTTTATAATTTATAAGAAACAACCTCTTCAGCAAGTGAAAAGTTGTTGCCAATATCGTGATATATAATATTACATCCGCTCCAACAGATAAATCGCCGTCACAATTTTCATTTTTTATAATAACATCAAATGTATTTGTTAGCAATATACATCGTAATAATCCAGAAAAAAAAACAATTATTATAACAAACATCATAGAATGCAAATTATTTTCCTGTATGAGCTAGAGTGGATGTCAATACTGTATTAGCGGTGGCATATACAATGAGGTGAATGAGTCGTTATGACTCACCATCACCATATATGGGTCATCATGACTCACCCATCACCATATATGGGTCATCATGACTCACCCATCACCATATATGGGTCATTATGACTCACCCATCAACATATATGGGTCATCATGACTCACCCATTAACATATATGGGCCGTTATGACTCACCCATCACCATATATGGGTCATCATGACTCACCCATAAACATATATGGGCCATTATGACTCACCATCAACATATATGGGTCATCATGACTCACCCATTACCATATATGGGTCATCGTGACTCACCCATCACCATATATGTGTCATTATGACTCATCCATCAACATATATGGGTCATCATGACTCACCCATAAACATATATGGGCCATTATGACTCACCCATCAACATATATAGGTCATCATGACTCACCCATAAACATATATGGGTCATCATGACTCACCCATCAACAAATATGGGTCATCATTACTCACCCATCACCATATATGGGTCATCATGACTCACCCATCAATTTATATGGGTCATCATGACTCACCGTCAACATATATGGGTCATCATGACTCACCCATCACTATATATGGGTCATCATGACTCACCCATCACCATATATGGGTCATCATGACTCACCCAGAGGGTTGGCGCCCCGGAACACCTGCCGGAAGTCCTTCTTGCGCATCGGCGGCAGCGACCTGATGTAGTTGCGGGCCTGGGGGATGTGGGGGATGTTGGGGGATGGATTATGTTTTGGATTTTGGGTGATGGGGATGTTGGGTGATATTGGATGATATCGAGTGCTAGGTGATGCTGGATTTTGGGTGATGTTGCGTGTTGAATATTGAGCAATGTTGGATAATATATCAGATTTTGATTGACGTTGGATGTTGGTGATGTAGGGTGTTTGGTGCTATTGTATATCGGGTGATGTTGGATGATGAACGAATTTTGACGAGGAATGCGAACAAATAAGTTGATCTTGAATATTAGTTGATATTTCGAAAGTCTTTTCAAATCTCTCGGTCAGAATTCAGCGATTGATTCGATAACGACAAAAGAAAATCTTTATCAGTTCAGGCCTGATAATATCTATCAGTATCGCTCGTCTGAGCAACACCGCAGCGGTGTTATGTTAATAACATTTAACATCAACACTAACCTCACTAACCTCCTCACTAACCTCCTCACTAGTTATCCTCACTAACCTCCTCACTAGTTATCCTCACTAACCTCCTCACTAGTTATCCTCACTAACCTCATCACTAGTTATCCTCACTAACCTCCTCACTAGTTATCCTCACTAACCTCCTCACTAGTTATCCTCACTAACCTCCTCACTAGTTATCCTCACTAACCTCCTCACTAGTTATCCTCACTAACCTCCTCACTAGTTATCCTCACTAACCTCCTCACTAGTTATCCTCACTAACCTCCTCACTAGTTATCCTCACTAACCTCCTCACTAGTTATCCTCACTAACCTCCTCACTAGTTATCCTCACTAACCTCCTCACTAGTTATCCTCACTAACCTCCTCACTAGTTATCCTCACTAACCTCCTCACTAGTTATCCTCTCTATGCAAGGCTCAGACGGCGTACCACAGAGCGTTAGTATGCGCAACAGCTGATCTATGTCTGTTAGTGCAACGTTTGTTTGGTTAGTGCAACGTTTGTTTGGTTAGTGCAACGTTTGTTTGGTTAGTGCAACGTTTGTTTGGTTAGTGCAATGTTTGTTTGGTTAGTGCAACGTTTGTTTGGTTAGTGCAACGTTTGTTTGGTTAGTGCAACGTTTTTTTGGTTAGTGTAACGTTTGTTTGGTTAGAGCAACGTTTGTTTGGTTAAAGCAAACATTTGCTTGGTTGGTGCAACGTTTGTTTGGTTGGTGCAACATTTATTTGGTTGGTGCAACATTTGTTTTGGTATAGTGTAACGTTTGTTTGTTTAGTGCAACGTTTTGTTGAACAAATAGAGATTGTATTGTAGAGATTGCAGCAGCAGCAGCAGGACAATGCAGTAGAGTTAAGGAAAACGTTTTTTACTCAAGCATAAAAATCAACAACAACGCGCAGCGTTGATTTCGTAGTCGCTTTCAACAAGATAACTTGACACCAGCACTAAAATATTATGAAATATTATTCTACTAGAGCAGAGTTTTGGGTGTTGATGAAGAGAAAGTCGTTAAATGAAATAAGTTAAATACTTTCACTAAAGACATTCACGTCACATAGCCTGTCTTAAAACCATACAGCATGAATTAAAAAGCCAAGCAGCAAAATAAAACGCAAGCTATTAATTACCCATATTTTTATACAATTTTACATAGTAAATTTTACATATGAATAACTTATTTAGCTAAGCTAAGTAATTACAGTTATCAACGGATGCTATCTCTTCTTTAAAAAATATTGAAAAGATCATACTAATTAAATACACAAAACTCAAGTGGTAGTGGATAAAATATCATATAAATGCATTATTATTCTTAGATTATTTTCATTAGAATATAACTCTGCTACCAGAATAACAAAGTTATTTTAATTAGAATTAACAAAATAGCAAACAAGTGAGCTCAGCCAGTCATGGCGGCGAGCTTAAAGCTTTTTAGTAACTCAGCTTCTCAGAGAAATGCATGCGAATACAACCATTACTGTTAATTACCTTCCAGCACATCTCCTAGTAACCCATTACCTCCAGGCTGCAGTGCCCATCATTACCTCCAGGCTGCAGTGCCCATCATTACCTCCAGGCTGCAGAGNTGCAGTGTAACTGCTGCGTGCTGAGGGCTGCTGCAGTGTAACTGCTGCGTGCTGAGGGCTGCTGCAGTGTAACTGCTGCGTGCTGAGGGCTGCTGCAGTGTAACTGCTGCGTGCTGAGGGCTGCTGCAGTGTAACTGCTGCGTGCTGAGGGCTGCTGCAGTGTAACTGCTGCGTGCTGAGGGCTGCTGCAGTGTAACTGCTGCGTGCTGAGGGCTGCTGCAGTGTAACTGCTGCGTGCTGAGGGCTGCTGCAGTGTAACTGCTGCGTGCTGAGGGCTGCTGCAGTGTAACTGCTGCGTGCTGAGGGCTGCTGCAGTGTAACTGCTGCGTGCTGAGGGCTGCTGCAGTGTAACTGCTGCGTGCTGAGGGCTGCTGCAGTGTAACTGCTGCGTGCTGAGGGCTGCTGCAGTGTAACTGCTGCGTGCTGAGGGCTGCTGCAGTGTAACTGCTGCGTGCTGAGGGCTGCTGCAGTGTAACTGCTGCGTGCTGAGGGCTGCTGCAGTGTAACTGCTGCGTGCTGAGGGCTGCTGCAGTGTAACTGCTGCGTGCTGAGGGCTGCTGCAGTGTAACTGCTGCGTGCTGAGGGCTGCTGCAGTGTAACTGCTGCGTGCTGAGGGCTGCTGCAGTGTAACTGCTGCGTGCTGAGGGCTGCTGCAGTGTAACTGCTGCGTGCTGAGGGCTGCTGCAGTGTAACTGCTGCGTGCTGAGGGCTGCTGCAGTGTAACTGCTGCGTGCTGAGGGCTGCTGCAGTGTAACTGCTGCGTGCTGAGGGCTGCTGCAGTGTAACTGCTGCGTGCTGAGGGCTGCTGCAGTGTAACTGCTGCGTGCTGAGGGCTGCTGCAGTGTAACTGCTGCGTGCTGAGGGCTGCTGCAGTGTAACTGCTGCGTGCTGAGGGCTGCTGCAGTGTAACTGCTGCGTGCTGAGGGCTGCTGCAGTGTAACTGCTGCTGCTGCTGGCAGTGCACAAGCCACCGCAGTGCACGAGTAAAAATGAATTTCAATTTTAAAAAGTTCAAAGATACAAATGATCCAGGATCTGGACATAGACAAACCTAAAAGTGGACATAAAATTAATCTATGAAACTCATCCTTCAAGCTTTTAAAATATTAATAAATATTAGAGCAGGAGACTGACGGCGGCAGACTTAACATTTAAGTAGAACGCTAAGTAGTTCAAGTCTTTAGAAGCGAATAGCCTAAAATGAATGAAATGTCATTTGACAAAACCGTTCCAAAAGTGTCGCCATGTGTACTAGTGTCGCCATGTGTACTAGTGCCGCCATGTGTACTTGGATCGTCATAAGTACCACAGGCATATGTATGAACAAATAACCAGTTATGTTGTGTATGTTTGACGGGGCAGCGCAAGAATGTTTGGGGCAACCACTGGGGCATCATAAAGAGGAGGACATGAGGAGATTGAGATGTCGGGGGAGAGGAGCATGGGGGTATGGGGAGTGGATGTTATAGAGATAATTCACGTTCAGTGTCACGTTCAGGGGCCATACTTTCAAAACTCGCTAAGTGAACGTAAGTACTTACGCTCTATTTTCTTGTCCATGATTGGTGGATTTTGCTTGAAAGGCCGTCAATGATTGGCTGATGAACTTACGATCTGTAACTTTTTTTGAAAGTATGGGCCCAGGGGATGCACAAGGATACTAAGGAATTAATCCAGCATCAAATAACTGGAAAAAGAGAACCACTATAATAATAATAATTGAACCACAAATAACAGTATAATAATATACGAGCCTGATATATAGTATTTTAATAATAAGAGAATCGCAAAATTTCAATTGAGGCACACGAATGAGTAGCAAGGTTGGAGAAGAAAATAAGAGTATGGCTGAAAAATTACAACAGTTTCATGCAAAATGTTTTTAAAGGCCCTAACGAAATTCGGGTAGCACCCAAGTTTCTGCCGCGGAGCCGCTACACTAGGCATGCAGTTCTGGGTCTACTTGGCCGCCCGATCGTAATCAGCTTCTGGTCAGAATCTTCTTTCCAATTTTATTGTCGCCTGATAGTATAACAAGTGCGTCTCGAGAAAATGACAAGTGCATCCTGAGAAGTTTGTACTGAGAGAATGCTAAGTATGCCCTGAGAGTATGATAAGTATAAGTCCTATAAGAGTTAGACAAGGCTTGGCCGAGCCGAGTCTTGCAAGCTGCCCAGAAGCAGCACTTTACACCCTGAGCCAGAGCGGATATTAGCGGCTGATTTACGCACTTCCCGAGTCCCAGGCGGCACCTGCTACAGATGCAGAGTCGGTGCCCACATCCAAATTTTGTTAGGGTGAGAACCAATGATTTTAAATGTCAAACGCACACACTACGATGCTTTAAATATTGTTCTTGAATATCATGTTCAGACGTTTTACGCTTTATTTATTGAAAAACACTCAATTCTCAATCCAAAAGCTAAAGAGAACGCCTGCCCTATCAACGCCTGCGGTTTTCAAATCAAATGTTTCAGGTAAAAAAAAGATGTTCAGTCCTGTCTGCGCGACTGAACATAGATAACTGAATGGACAATGAATGATGTATTGAACGAAGCAATAGTGTTAGCACGACTGAACATAGATAACTGAATGGACAATGAATGAAGTATAAAATATTGAATGAAGCAATAGTGTCAGCACGACTGACATAGTAATCCCGTTGGCGTATTGGGAGTAATTAAAGTATAAGCGCTGTGCTAGTGAAGCCATAGCCTCTGTGTTGGACTGTATAGCTATGTGTAGTACATGCAAAGCTCTGTAACATACTGATTCATGTCTTAGATGTTACAGGACTATGTGTTAGCTATACGTTTGTTATACAACCTACAGGCTATCCTCTTATATTTGTTACGGTTATGGCGACGTATGTTATGGTTATAGCGACGCATGTTATGGTTATAGCGACGTATAACATCACTGGGCTACCGCTGCTAAGATATTTCACGTATAATACTCACGGGTGGGTGATTATATTCCTTGAATTACTCATATTCACTCACTTGTTACAGACCAAATTTGTAGATAAATCAAGTAGGTGCTCATTTCACGGTGATGAATCAGAGGGTAACTACTGTAGGTACTCACTTAACGGCGATGTATCAGAGGGTAACTAATGTAGGTACTCACTTAACGGCGATGTATCAGAGGGTAACTAATGTAGGTACTTAACGAACAATTCCACGAGTATTCACAAGTGAGTAACACAGCGTAACTCACACTCTCATAAAGATATGGTGAACTTTTGTGTTATTGTCTTTGCTTTTAAATTCCTGCTTAACTCGCGATTCAAGCAAACAAGTGATTTTAATACTTATAACTCACACTGTCAGAGGTGACTTTACTCAGGCATTCATGGCTGGGTGTGCCAATGAGTTCCATGATAAGGTTAAGTTGTTGAATGTCTGCGGCCACGTTGGCCAAATCAACACGTTAAGGAAAACGCAACACAAAACACTGCAAAAAAAACAAGCAACGTAAAATGCATGCAGAAAAAATTAAACTTTTGGAAAATATAATGTTGTCCTATACTAGTTTTCTTCAAAAATAAAAATTAGCAAACTTCCAGAAAAAAAAAACACAAAATTGAATAAATAACACAAGGCTATCAACCAAACACACAAATGTAATTTCTAAAAAAAATCTATTTACTTCAATACAGCATCACAGTGGCGCCTCTAGACTCGGAGCAAGCGCTTACTTTAGGTAGCATTATTTTAAGGCAGGCAGATTGAGGACATTTTGATTAAGGTTATAACAGGGATCATGTTTTGTCTAGATTGCAGCACATTCTTCTCTGCCTGCAACAATATAAATAACTTCACTCCATTCATTTATGATTCATTGTGATGTGAATTTACTGTCTAGTTCCAGCAGTTATGGAAACTGCTTTGCCAGTAAATTATAACTGTAGAAATTCGTCCACATCTCGAAGAAAGTTGTCATTTGTTTGCTAGTGAGCATTAATGAGTTGAAAAGTGGACAGTAGTGGCGGCCACTACAGGCGCATGTACACGGGTCAGTAGTGGCGGCCACTACAAGTGCATGTACACGGGGACAGTAGTGGCGGCCACTACAAGTGCATGTACACGGGGACAGTAGTGGCGGCCACTACAAGTGCATGTACACGGGGACAGTAGTGGCGGCCACTAACTGCGACTAATTATAACGAAAGTTTGAGCAAAAGGATTTTCGAATCAAGAAGCACCACTGCACACTAATTACACTCTAACTAATAATTAAGTTACTGTTAGAAATAAACTTGCTTTTAGTTGTCCTGTGTGGATTAAGAACAAAAAACAAGGCGCTGAGACTAAATACTACCCACTAGAGTGAAAAATTATGCTAAGCCATAAAAAATGTAATAGGAATTATTTTTGAACAGACATGGAACATTCAACATAGTCTCTTCAAATGGGTGTGCAACTGATAACTGAACACTGCACTGAACATCAAGTGATCAACTCAATATCCTAATTTATTTTTCGCCTCTTAATTTAGAATAAAATATCTTAAATAACTAATTCACAAACAATTCAACAGGAACGTTTTTTTAATCTCATTCCTTTAAAATTCTCGTTGTTTTTTCTTTTTGAAATGACCAATGTAGATAATGGCACAAAGAAACAATTGACGTGCACTTAATTGTACCAAAACAAGCGGCGATTTCTAAATTGGGCGACTTCTGAAACGGTCGACTTCTGAAACGGTCGACTTCTGAAACGGGCGACTTCTGAAACGGGCGACTTCTGAAACGGTCGACTTCTGAAACGGTCGACTTCTGAAACGGTCGACTTCTGAAACGGTCGACTTCTGAAACGGTCGACTTCTGAAACGGTCGACTACTGAAACGGTCGACTTCTGAAACGGTCGACTTCTGAAACGGCCGACTTCTGAAACGGTCGACTTCTGAAACGGTCGACTTCTGAAACGGGCGACTTCTGAAACGGTCGACTACTGAAACGGCCGACTTCTGAAACGGTCGACTTCTGAAACGGGCGACTTCTGAAACGGGCGACTTCTGAAACGGACGACTTCTGGAATGGTCGACTTCTGAAACGGTCGACTTCCAAATAAAATCGCTTTGAAGCGCGCAGAAGCAGTGCCATAACAAAAACCATCGTGGCAGCAGTAATATAGATGTTAAGGTAGTACAAAGTATACTAAGACAAATAGTATAATAATATCACTAAACAGCACTGTATAGGATACATGTATCTAACATAATTGGTACCAATAACAAACAATAATATTAAGGACAGTAAAGGATACGGTCCTGGCCAGGGAAGAGCGTGCGTCCCGTGAGCAGCTCAGCCATGATGCAGCCCACGGACCAGATGTCCACTGCAGGCAGGACAGACACGTCAATAATTGAATGATTATGAATGATAGTCATGATAATGAATGATAGTCATGATAATGAATGATAGTCATGATGATGAATAATAGTCATGATAATGAATGATAGTCATAATGAATGATAGTCATGATAATGAATGATAGTCATAATGAATGATAGTCATAATGAATGATAGTCATGATAATGAATGATAGTCATGATGATGAATGATAGTCATGATGATGAATGATAGTCATGATAATGAATGATAGTCATGATAATGAATGATAGTCATGATAATGAATGATAGTCATGATAATGAATGATAGTCATGATAATGAATGATAGTCATGATAATGAATGATAGTCATGATAATGAATGATAGTCATGATAATGAATGATAGTCATGATAATGAATGATAGTCATGATAATGAATGATAGTCATGATAATGAATGATAGTCATGATAATGAATGATAGTCATGATAATGAATGATAGTCATGATAATGAATGATAGTCATGATAATGAATGATAGTCATGATAATGAATGATAGTCATGATAATGAATGATAGTCATGATAATGAATGATAGTCATGATAATGAATGATAGTCATGATAATGAATGATAGTCATGATAATGAATGATAGTCATGATAATGAATGATAGTCATGATAATGAATGATAGTCATGATAATGAATGATAGTCATGATAATGAATGATAGTCATGATAATGAATGATAGTCATGATAATGAATGATAGTCATGATAATGAATGATAGTCATGATNCACCACCACCACCCACCCGTCTGGTTGTAGTGCATCCAGTTCAACACCACCACCACCACCCACCCGTCTGGTTGTAGTGCATCCAGTTCAACACCACCACCACCCACCCGTCTGGTTGTAGTGCATCCAGTTCAACATGATCTCCGGGGCGCGGTACCAGCGGGTGGCCACGTACCCCGTCATCTCGGTCTCCGTCGGGCGCGCCAGACCAAAGTCCAGGATCTTGAGCTCGCAGTCCTCATTGACGGCCAGGTTGCTCGGCTTCAGGTCCTGCAAGCATGAAATTTCATCTTATTTATTATTTAATTTTGATATCATTTCACTATTTCATACCTTCGTTCTCCGCCAGGTTTGCTGGGGTTCGTGTGCTGGATGAGGGCAATATTATTTCATACCTTCGTTGTTAACAGCAGAGTTGCTGGGCTTCAGGGTTAGTCATTGGGGTTTATAATATTATATAGAATTTGGAATAGAATACGGTAATTATTCTAATGTCAAATAATCAATTTAGGCAAACCATTAGAATGATTGCATCAACTTGCTCAATCTAAAGATTAATCTTCCAACAGAATAGATTGGTGTCACTGCAAGAAAGCAGCTGGATCATCAGGATGGGCGTTTAGCAGAGAAGCACGTTTTGAAAATCGCGAGTTAATTACACAATGATGAATCTTAATTTGTTTGTCAGAACTTGTTGCCAATTATTGTGCACTAGCAAATGCACTCAAGGTAAAACTCCTCCGGCAGAGTGGATGTACGTGAGTCCCCGCAGCACCTGGTAGATGAGGAACTGTACGTACCCTGTGGATGATGCCGGCAGAGTGGATGTACTTGAGGCCCCGCAGCACCTGGTAGATGAGGAACTGTACGTGGTCGTCTGTGAGCTTCTGCGTCTTGACGATGTTGTTGAGGTCGGCGCCCATGAGGGGGCTCACTAGGTAACTGCAACCAGACATCACAACTTGTTCATAAGGTTCAGCATATATAAATATATGAACTATGTGCACCATTGCCATTAGGCAATGGTGCACCACAACTTGCCTCATCGCACATATACAGTCAACAAATAAAAATACATAAACTATGAAGGTAATGGCAATGATGCATCACAACTTGAAATATCTCTCTAAATAATAATTAGGAATGACATTAGAGGTTATGTACTAATATCTACAGCTCCAATTCTGTAGCCTGCACATGTAAATCTATGATGTACAGGCTACATTAAAGCTTTACTCTGCCATGATACCACATCACAAGTTTAGGTCTTGAACAAATATAATAAAATCTTTCATGTCTCAAAATCCTGTTAATACTGATCAATGACTCCAAATTTAGTTCATTATATGCAGCTACTCCACAGAGAAAATATTTGTATCACAAGATGAGAACTAACATTAGGACTTCTTTCATTAAGTATTGATATATAAAATAGGTAAATAAATTATGTTCATAATTTACATCTTGACCATTAAGCAAAATTAATCATTTGAGCCATTAAATGTTCAACAAAAAAATAATCAAAGGTAATAAATTGAGCCAAATTTTCTCAGTTACATGCATTGTATTACATGGTCCTGTCTTACCCCATGCCTGGTCCCATCTTACCCCAGTGGGGTAAGATGGGACCGGCTCACTTTTTTTAATCTGTACAGAAAACTGTGTTAGATGCAAAACGTCTGAGTTGTAGCTTAGAAGCCCATTGCATAACTACACCTTGTGATAGGTTTAGGGTTTTTTAGTTAGTCATGTTATAGATGCTACAGGCTTGTTAGTGATTTTGGTCCTGTCTTACCCCATCTGACTATAGGTATTGATATATAAAATAGGCAAATAAATTATCTTCATAATTTACATCTTGACCATCAAGCAAAATTAATCATTTGAGCAATTAAATCTTCAACAAAAAAATAATCAATGGTAATAAATTGAGCCAAATTTTCTCAGTTACATGCATTGTATTACTGCAGTTGCCAATTTCAAAATAGATGTCTCATATTTGTGCTGCACATTAATAGATCTTACATGTCTTGGAATCCTTCAAAATTGGGAGATGGTGTGAAGACGTCCAGAAGGCCAATCACCTGCAAAATAATGAGACATTTATAATGAAAAATAATAGTGATTTGCTGACTTTAACTTCATAGACAAAAAAAAAACTTTCTATCATCAAACATTATCACCGTAAACATGTGTGTAACTAAAAATTGTTATACTTTTGTAGCAATTCTGTAGAACGGTTTAGATTAGACTCTCCACTTTCCTAACTTTTAGTTGGAGTTTCTTCTTATAAAACTCCACCAAGGAAACAATTATAAACCCATAGATTAAACATACGGTACCCATATTCTTTAAAATAACATGTTCTTAAATTTATTTGAGGAAATGTAAAAAAAAACTCCCAGCCCATGTGCTGCAGCCATTATCTTAATCATTGTTATCATGTATTCATCAGTCTATCAAATGTTAAATGTATAGAACTTTTGAGCCCCCTCTACAAATGTTTGCACTAAAGGTGAATTTTATAAGTAGAAGTACATTAATGCATTCTCATGGTCTATGTGCTGCAGCAATGACCTCAATCAATATATTTTATATAGTAATTATCAAGATATCAAATTTTAAATTTAGACATTTTTCTCGTCCCTCCCCCTAAATTTTTGCATAAATGGTACTAGATTATATAATTAGAAAAGAACATTACATTCTCATGGCCCATGTGCTGCTGCAGTGATTTCAATCAAAACATCTATGTAATTAACATGATATCAAATTTTAAATTTATATATTTTTCTAGTCCCTCCCCCTAAATATTTGCACAAATGGTGGATTGTATAGTTAGAAAACAACATTACATTTTCATGGTCCATGTGCTGCAGCATTCTCAGTTCCCTGTAGGTGCGCTTGGCGTGTATGTGGGACTGGAACGGCCGGGACAGTTTCTTGATGGCAACTTTGGTGTTGGTGGACGTGTCCACTGCAGAGCTGAGATCAAATATTTGCTTTAAAATACAATATGCAATAAAACACACAAAGGATTAAAGAGTTTGTTTTAATTATCACCTCTATTCATTTCATCATCAAATGGCCTGCAGTTCAATCTCCACTAATAGAATCTGCTGATCAGTTATGTCCAGAGTTTTGACTCAACACAAAATGTCCAGCACAAAAGACATGAGTGCAGTATTACTCCAAAGACAGATATTGTCATCTGATATTTGAAGAATCTAATATTGTTCTTTCTTCAGACTTTTTCTGTCAACAAAAGAGTTCAAGCCAGGATCAAATTTGTTCAGAACAATTATGAAGAATTGAGCACGCATGGAGCAAATGGCAAGAGAAATAAGGTAGTGAGCCTGCAAGTTTTGAAGCTGCCTCCACATGGACAACTGCACAGTTAAGGTTATTGCATTACCACCACATGTTCAAGAGTCAAGTCGAGTCATGTATAAAATATTAACTGATCAATTGAAGATCATAGCTTTTTTGGCCCATTTTCAGCTAGCATGCAAAGTCAGCTTCAAAAATAAACAAACATTTATACATTTCTAATCAAATTAAAATTGGAAATAAATTTAATTTGAGCATTTAATTTAATTTAATTTAACATTTACACACACCATAGATATTTAACAATCACATGAATCAAAATTAGGTATCTCCGTAGTTAACATCCCATTGGTTTTTCATTTTATTTTTTACTCATTAACACAATTCTTTGTGTGAACAAATTAAGACCATTTGATACTAACATAATAAAAGTTAATAAAGAAATAATCTGATTCAAACGGCCTAAAAATTAATCTTAATAATTTTAGCACAAAATCTTTTACACTACATGAATCACTCCAAGAAATAACATTTGTTGGAAAGTCTATAGACATATCTAGTAGCACCTAGGTATTGATTGCCTAATCAAATATATTTTATATTTACATCCCAAGAACTTTTAGGAAATCGTACTTCTGTTACAAAGAACATCACAAGCTCCGACTAGTATATTACAATATTATTTACTATACAATGAGCACCTAAAGCACATATTCAATTTGTATCTAAAGCACATATTCAATTTTGTATCTAAAGCACATATTCAATTTTGTATCTAAGGTACCTACAACTAGAACAGCTACATACCGTATCCTAATCCAAAAGTTGAAACAACAAAAATCCTATATGATTTCCCCTCACCAGACTTGTCCATAGGCCCCAGAGCCGACTGGGGACAGCATCTGATAGCGACGTGGTAGCTCCCATTCTGTCTTATTTAGTTCAGTTGAATAAAAATCTGGTCGCATGATTAAAGAAATAAACTGAAAAGCTGAAAATTGTACATGATTAGACAAAATATTGCAGATATAAAATTTTAGGCCATTTTATGCATACCTACAAAAAGTAGCAATGCCAAAATTGTATTGGCTATGAATAGCTGTATTTTTGGAAAATTCTGCCTAATGTTACAGATGTTTCCAACAAGAATTTGAAATATTCAGCAAAAATTTTCTGCAAAAATCCTAAAAACAGCCCATTTCAAGGCTATTACAGACTTATTTACAGTACTTTGAATTGCAGGTAGGCCTAGTACCGTAGTAGCCAGGTACATGAGTCGTACATCTGATGATCTGTCTTAAATCTAATTATTGATAAAATGTTTTCAAATTTTAGGTAACAAGATTTTAAAAATTATTGAAAATTTGGCACCATGGAGAAACAAAAATTTAGTAATAATATGAAAACTTCAATCCAGTAACTTGTAAGGCTGTACTGTAATCAGTGTAATGTGTAATCATAAATTCATAAATCATGTAATGTGGCTAACAAGATTACAATTTACAAGAGGCTGACACCCTGGCAGCTTGGGCCATTGGCAATATCATGAATATGGGCATACTTGAGCATTAACAAGCAAATAGGATCTTAAACTGACTAGTGACTACAAATAAGAATAACCAAATAAGGTAACAATACAGAAACTGGCGACGCCTGGGCAACCTCCAGCTCCTGGTCTCCATGATGAATGATAGCCTTGATGGCAGCCCGTTTGCCCAATTTAGACGGCACATGGGCTTGACGAACCACAACTGTTGTTGTTGACGGGTTGAAAGTTGGAGGCGAAGAAGAGGTCTCGCACAAACAACTGACAGGCGACAGCGGACCGTCATCGGGCACCAGCAATAGATGTAGCTATGCCCGGAAAAATCTTCCCAGTCCAATTTAGTGAAATGTGCAGAAATTCAACGATTCGAATATGACCACAGCTTATCATAACATAACATAATAATAATATAATAATATGGCGTTATAGAATAAACCGGGTTGGCCTGTTGTCTATTCTTATAATGCTTATGATGCGTCTTCTTTTGATTGCGGTATCCCTAGGTAAGAGGAGCTTCTTCTTCTTTTCGGGGTGTCTACACTGGGTAGACTTAAAGCCACAGGTCGACCTCGAGGACGGCCGTTGGGCCTGAGAGCCTGTATTGTGTTTAAATTCTTCTGGGTAAGAGGAGCGAAAAAGAAGTGGCGCATAGTGGCCAGAAGGAGAAAGAAGAATTGAAAAGAACAGTAGGAAATGAAAAAGGCATCGCGCATGATTTCAAATTGGTTCGTTGTTGGTGAGTGAATTTTGGTAAGGATTGGTGAGGGCTTCGGATGGTTTTAACGGGTTGGTGGTGATTCTTCATATGCAAAATTTGCATTTTGAGATCAATTAAACAATAGTGAAGATGATAAATACTCATTATATTTGCATGTTTTTTATATTTTTGTATCTTTCTTAGATGGTATGATGGGTAGGGTGATCGATGATGATGAAGGAAATGAGGGTTGAGTCGCTCGAGACTCGTTAGAAGGTTAAAGAGTGTCAGTTAGTTTGACTTAGATCCATTCAAGATTATGACTGTCAACCCAGAACAGAGTTATTCTTAACTTTGACAGTGGCACACACGAACAGTGTCCCTTATAAAGTTTGACAGGTATATTTAACCTTCTTTACTTCGTCAGCTATGGATCTGTTTAGCTAACAGCAAAGTCACCATCGCGTAAAAACTCAGGAACTACATGATATGAATTTAAAAACGTGTACCGTTTTAGTGAACAACATGTTATTCTTATGGCTAACATTTTCCTTGGCGAAACAGATGAACAGCGTGGGCATTCTTTAAGGGGACCGACCGGGCTAAAATTTTCAATTTTGGAGTTTTTCGGTTTTTGTGCTCATCTGAAAGCTGCAATTCTGCTCTTTCCAATGGTACCACTGCCATCGCTGTACGCNGAATTTCAGCTCACCATCACAATTTTCACTAGTACCATTACCATCACAATTAGACATTTTACATTAATCTTCTGTAAAGAATGAGAATTACTTACGGAATAATTAATTATTTAAGCACTTAACTACCATTCTTCAATAGACTCAGTTTTTAGTTTTTTAGTTTTTAGTTTTTACTCATAGCGTAGTGCGGTATTATAAAGTACTCCAACAGCGAAGTAGCACTTCAAAGTCTTTCTGCGTACGAATCAGTAGTGGGACACTAAACATTGTAGAAGAGCTACTTCGAAGTGCTTAGTGTCTATGACGTATTTATCATATAGCAGGACACTTCGTAGTGCATAGTGCTACTTCGTAGTGCTAGTGCCCTATTTAGCATACGGGCCTAAGTATTGGTCGTGATATCGCAAGTGCCACTTGCGATGCATGCGCTAATGTTTGGGAGTCGATATATAGGCTGGCACTTATACAACTGAGGCATTAATGGCCGTTGTACTGGTCAAGATTTTACGACCTCAATTAGACTCGATCATTCCAGCCATTACTACTGCCGCGCCTCAACAGAGAGAAATGTATGGTTGGTAGAATAAACTTCAATGAATAAGGAAAAATAAAAAGTAAAAGACATACGGTTAACAAACTAATTAACAAATTTCAACGCAAAAAAATTCCTCAATCCAGACGGCAAACGGTACCAAGGGTACACGGTACAGAAGGTGCACAAGAAAAAACACGGTACAGAGAATACGCCTGAATGAAATAATCGAGACAGAAATTACTCATTACAGAAGGGTTACTAGAATTTGAAACAAGAACCTCAACACCAGGGGCCACGGCTATAAACTACAAAAACTGCGTTGGAACACATCCATGCGACAACATTTCTTCTCGCTTCGAGTCACCGACATGTGGAACAGCCTCCCTGATAGCATCGTTGACGCTCAGAGTATGAACATCTTCAAAAACAGACTAGACGAAGCTATGCAGGAGCATATGTTCAGTCTTAAAATGCCTAGCAAATTACGGACCAGGCAATAAGTCCAGACGAAGCTATGCAGGAGCATATGTTCAGTCTTAAAATGCCTAGCAAATTACGGACCAGGCAATAAGTCCAGCAGCTATCTCAATCAATCGTCAGCTATGGAAAGATCAGGTTCCAAAGGCCGGATCCCTTGTGATTCAAGTCACGAGAACGAGAAGTACAAGAAACGGCAACAGGCCATGGGCCTATTTCTTCAGTGCCGATACTTCTATTCTATTCTATTACAGATAATAGGCAGTACAGGAAATATGCGGAACTGAAGGTGCGCGGTACAGAAGGTACGCGGAAATTGTATTTGGTAGTGATGTGAATGGTGCGGCTGTTGGCGCAGGCATGTATCGCCGGGATCGGCCCAAGTAGGAGCGGACTTGCTGGCCGCTGGCAGAGGCCAGAAGTAGGTGCCGCCTAACAATGGTGGCCATGAGCACGACTAACTAGTACGAACATAACAATACTATTAACAATTCTAAATTAGGCGTCGATAAAACACATTACAACAGTTATAAGATTATAACACTCGTGTGAATTAACAAAATTCGCACTCACATTCACTTGATGAAAAGCATGATTTAGTCTTCTATCACACTTGCACATGTTGCTGTGTAGATGACGAAAATAATGTCTTGGCAAGGACAAAAATACACAACTGTATAACAGATAATCTTTCTGAATTTACCATAAAGTTTCAACCGGTAAGGGCTGTCAAGTTGCGCCACCCCTACTTTAATAAGAACGAAGACACCGGGGGCGAGTAGCAGGGATGGTGAATGTAGAAAATCTCTGCCAGCGATGACCAAACTTTAAAAACCGTGAAAGCAAAGTCGAACTCGCCGGGCCGCTGAACGACTGCGTTAAATATGAAGTAGGATTACGCGTCGATAATTATTACAAAAAGGATTTGAACTGAAGTTTTAACCCTTTTCGACAGGAGCACATCTACATTTACCTGTTCATCAAAGCACTTGATCCAATGTTAGAGATACCACGGCTTCTTCTTCGTTGTCAAGCTAGTGATATAAAATGGAGTCCTGAGGCTACTGCCCAGACAAAATTTAAATACCGGCCCCACCCTGCATTAGGTGCCGCCTAAGACTCTATGAGCAAGTAAATCAGCCTCTCAATGTCCGTTTCGGCCGTGCTGGACGTGCAGTTTTTAAGCAGTTTGCAAGATCGGCATCACTAGTCGAGGCCAGCCCTTGTCATACTTTTAGGGCACAATTCCCATACTCTGAGGACACTATAAAGTCAGAAATGAGATTTTGATTTGGTTGACTAAGCAGACCTTTTGCACGGAAGTCTGAGCATTACCATCGTTTTGTTAGGAGAAGGGACTATCTATACCAAGCAACATCTAGTGAACCTGCATCTAGCAATTAATTCAGTCGCTCATTTATCTCAGGAGACTTATAGTATCCATAACTTGGGATGATGTTTGCACTCATTATTTAGTAAAATACTTCGATATTCACTCGGTAGAGGCCAGCAAGCTAAACTACGTGCTATTTTGTTCTTCCTTTATTATTAAAATAGTGTATTACTGTATTCCCCACTGTATAGGAGCCAGCAAGCTGCTGTCGGGGGCGTCCGTAGGCGCGGTGACCAACCCGCAGCGCTGCCTGCAGCTGTGCGGGGCGCAGCCTGCCTGCGTCGCCTTCAACTTCAACGGTAGATTTAAATATATTAATATTTCAGCTTTTATACATTTTAGTGCATGCATTTTGGCTACTCAATTGAATGAGGCAAGGCTTCATTTATATTGGCGCGACTTATTGTTTGAGGCGCTGCTTAATCGATAGCGGTTCTATTTAATTGATTTAGGTGCTACTTAATTTTTAAATGCACAACTTCCGTTTCAGGCGCTACTTAATCGATAGCGACACTATTTATTCGCTTTATTCACTAACTAATTAACACAAGCCACTACGCTAAATTAAACTGTACGAGATTTTTCGCTGATAATGTGCCGTCGTAAAGCCAATAAGACACTCAAATGCTGCTGCGACGCACCATTGTACAGAAATGAGCACAAAATTATGCAATAAATTAGGATTCGAAGATAGAAGCTGTATTAAACAAAATTATAAACAGGTTTCATAAAAAAATGAATCTTGAACTGTTGTATTTGATTACTGTTGCAAAATGCTATATTGTATTATCATTACAATGTCTGTACTGATTAGGCCATTAAACCTATAGCCGATTCTGTACATTGGCAATGTTCCCAACTTGTGAGTCTCGAACACACAACTCACAGCTCCAATTTTGCTGTGCTAACCTGCCAGGCCACCTCAATGATTTTGACCAGAACTGTCGCAGGTAGCTGGGATCGAACCCACAACTCACTGCTCCCCTTTTAGTGTCGTGAATTGTAAACACTGTGCCACCTTGTAGAAAATTATTTCAACAGAAATTGTTTAAACCCTCAATTGTTGTATCAAAATATTGATATGCCCGTGCAGACGTGACCAGGGAGTGCGAGCTCGTGGCTGCGGTAGCCGGCAGCGCGGTGGTGCCGGGCTGGCGCTGCTACAGGATGCTGATGCCGCCGCCCGCCCGGATTATGGTGGGTGTCGCCACCATTTATCTTTATTGTTATTTGTCTGTCATTATGATCAAGTATTGCTTAAATGATTACAGCCCACAAAAAGGCAAAATGCCCTTTATTTACGTTGATGCCAACAGGACCCATGTGCCAGCAACCCCTGTCCTGCTAACAAGGTGTGCGTACAGCACTGTCCTCTTGTTTACGTTGTTGCCAACAGGACCCATGCGCCAGCAGCCCCTGTCCTGCTAACAAGGTGTGCGTACAGCGCTGTCCTCTTGTTCACGTTGTTGCCAACAGGACCCATGCGCCAGCAGCCCCTGTCCTGCTAACAAGGTNGTCACAAAGCTCCCGAACGAAACCTATTACTTTAGTTTCAGTAGCAATTACGGTGAAGATGATGACCTTCATACTATCACTATATTGTACCATGCAATATTAGTATAGTATGGTAGTATATTATACTATACCATACTATACTAGTATAGAATAGTATGGTATAGTCTATAGTTATAAAAATAGGCCAAGTTTGGCTAGTCTCTGATTCTTGTAATGTTCTTAACTTGCCTCCTGGAGATCCGAGAACTGGTATTTTGACCAGATCTTCTCAATACTGAAGTTGAAGCTAAGCAGCTACTTAACATCCAACAATTTGTGAGATGGGAGGCACTTCTATTCGAAACATACACCACTGCATAACTTCAATCTTCTATGTGAAAATTGAAGCGTTGTTCCGAAACGTGTACTTTTGGTGAGACCCTGCACTTCGCTTCTCTCACGCACCCCCTTGTCTGCGCTGCCATCATTACCCGCATTTAACATCTTTCCATCAGGGATGTTAGCATTAAGGTTTTATTTTAATGGAGCCTAATGCCTGCAGTACTTAAGTGCATCATAATTACCACTAAACCTGAGTGACTTGACCGTCATAGACCACATGCAGTTCAGTTTTACTCTTGCTAGCGAGAACACCGTTGGCTGTGTCTTGCACTTTGGTTGGATTTATTGAACGTTGCAGCCACTCAGGAGTGCGGCACCCCACCGGGAGGGGGGCAGTGTGTAGGCCGTAGGGCCATAACCCGTGAACACGTACCTACAATCTCCGCTACCAAATCTTCATTTTAAACATTGATTTTTGTTATTTTGAGTTATGAATTTATGAATGTGTTAATTAAAGTGAAAATAGTAACTCATTTTTAATCTGGTATGTTCTTTTCCTCTAAAAATGGAGAGAAGGTGCCATGACCAGGCCTGGGTAGCTCGCCGATGTTTTGAACAATATGATATTAAGGTCAATTTATGCACTTGTAACCCTAACCTCAGATACGGTGCGTCAACTCACCAGCATGAGTGAATTCCATGATGCTCAATTCAACTACCCCAATTTGATGATTGATTTAGTAAAGTAACGGAGTAGCGGTAATCAGCGGCAAACGATCTAGTACATATATAAGTTCGACCTTCAGACCACCTTTTCAACATACGATACACTAAATTCAACTTAAATTTTCTGCAGCTTCATAAAATACAGGAAATCTTCCCGAAATAAAAATTCAGCGCCATGCGGCCAGCGATATGATGAACATAAATTGTGAACATCTATATATAGATGATAAATATAGAGCATCTATATATAGATATAGATGATAAATATATTATTATATATATATATATAGATAAATATAGAGCATCTATAGCGTCCGAGAGAAAAAAATAGTCAAAGGAACAGTTTGACTTAAATTAATTTAAATCCAAATTAAGTGGCCATATTTCAATTCTAAACTTTTCGAAAAGATTCACACGTCCAAACTCGTGACAATTTTTCGAGTTCTCAAAGATCCAAACATGAACTGTGCTCACTATTGCTTTTCAACTTATCGATATTTTTTAACAAAATCTTTGGAAACTGTCGCTCTTCAACTTATCGATAATTCAATTAACGTTGAGACGGTCGCTCGTCAACTTATCGATAACTCCTAACTAAAATTCTGCAGACTGTTACTTCTGATCATATCGATAATTCTTAAGGGGAACGTCTGCCCTAAAAAATAGACAGCCCTAAAAAATAGACCGAAAAATAGACAGCTTTTATTCATGTCCATTTTTCGAAAAAATGAAAGAAAACTTGAAATTCTTAGAAAACGGCCAAAAAAGGGGGAACTGTAGAAATCTATCTCCTCCTAGAGTTTTAAAGTTACAGCAATGAGACATATACCATCCGATTTGCACTCAAAATATCTATTGATTCGTCGTCGCTTTTTTCGAATGTCGAATTTTTGTGGATGTGGGAGTTTTCCAAAATTTTCGAAAATTTTTCGCTTTTTTCAATTTCCTGCCCTCTTTTTTCAAAATATTTTCCAAACTATAACGAAATTCGAAAAAAGCTACAACGAATAGATAGATATTTTCATTGGAAATCGAATGGCATATCTCCCATTGCTGTAGCTTCAAAACTCTAAGAGGAAATAGGTTTGCCGTGACAATAAGTTAACTTTTCAGGACAGCGCGACAAAGTCCTGCTCGCATTGAAATAATGGTGCCCGGCTGGGTAATTTCCGCCTTAACTTTACTGAAGGGGCCCGGACACCTCCCCGCCTTACGGGATCTGTAGTGAACGCATAAATCAACGTACAGAGATGGTTGGTACCGTTGGATCCGTCAGAATGTAAGTTTTAAGATGAGTCAAAAACCGAAAAAGTCAAAATTTTCGATTTTGGGGCAGACGCTCCCCTTAACAGGAACTGCGCTGACTTTTGCTCTTCGACTCATCAATATTTTCCAACAGGAGCAGTGTTGAATGTTTCTCTTCAACTCATTGATAATTGTACGGGAAAATCGATGAAAGTTTGAACTCAGCAGTCTATGCTCATTTTTCGTTTCAGAGTACAATTGTATTTTTTCTTTGTCGTTCTAGGCGTAAATACAATTTAATTATTCACGTTTTTCAACCAAATCATCAACATCTGAGTCAAGCATCGACTAAGTTCATTGAAGCAGAGAGGACTTTCTCAAATAATGGCTGGTGCTGTGCTACCAGCAACCGTGGTATTCCTGGTCGCCATGGTACACTTGAGTGGTGCTGCGGTGGTCGCCACTACCTACTCCGCCGCCACCATGGGTGAGTTATACGCGACATGAGGTGACGTTATCACTGGTTTATTGCTCTCGGTGGTTAACCCTCTGGCTAAAGCTACATTCATCGGATGCAATGATATTCCTATGTTAATGTTAGATATCGTAATGGTACCCCCAGCTGGCTGGTTATAGGCAATAAACTTTTATGTTATCAAAAAGATTCTGACTAAATATTGGTCGTGATATCGCATGTGCCACTTGCGATGCTGGCGCTAATGTTTGGGAGTCTATATATAGGCTGGCACTTATACAACTGAGGCATTAATGGCCTTTGTACTGGTCAAGATTGGACGACCTCAATAATTAGACTCGACCATTCCAGTCATTATTACTGCCGCACCTCAACAAAGGAGAAATGTATGGTTGGTAGACTACGATTCAATGAATAAGGAAATATAAAAGTAAACGACAAACGGTTAACAAACTAATTAACAATTTCAACGCTAACAAATTTCTAAATACAGACGGCAAAAGGTACCAAGGGTACATGGTACAGAAGGTATAAGGGGTAAAACACGGGACAGATAATACGCAGTACTGGAAATACGCAGAAATACACAACTGTATAACAGATAATCTTTCTGAATTTACCATAAAGTTTCAACCGGTAAGGGCTGTCAAGTTGCGCCACCCCTACTTTAATAAGACTTAGCTCGTCATAACACTCATCCTAGATAGAGATTAAATTCGTTGAGACCATATAAAGTTAAAGATAATAAATTAATCAATGCTTAAATTAGTCACCTAAATTAGTTCATGCTTAAATTAGTTCATGCTTAAATTTATTCATGTTTAAATTAATTAAATGTTTAAATTAGTCACCTAAATTAATTCATGAATGATATCAGTCAATCATTCATAATTCAGATCAGTTATCAATTGAGCATATAATATCAGTTAGGCTAAATTGAACAGCAAAATCAACTGTCGATTATTTGCCCATCACAATTTCGATCAATTATCCATTATCAAATTAATAATTAATCATTTATAAATTAAATCACTTATCACTTACCAATTAAATCACACATTAATTATCAATTGGATCAGTTTATCATCAGTTTTCAGTTAGAAATATCCAGGCCAGTAGGCAATTAATTGGGAAAGAAATCTGATTATACATGAAATTTAAATTGAAGGCAAATATGAAAATGGAGAACGACTACTCACTTTTGAGGAACTTAGCATGCGAGCTCGAGGCTCTTCAAGAAGCATTCAGTCACTGACGGGTAGAGCAAGCTCTTCTGGGTGTAGGTGTGTACTGTATATTGTAGGCACGCTAGCAGTGAAGTCATCATCCGGTCATCCGGTGTCTTCGCTAACAATATCGAAGACACCGGGGGCGAGTAGCAGGGATGGTGAATGTAGAAAATCTCTGCCAGCGATGACCAAACTTTAAAAACCGTGAAAGCAAATTCGAACTCGCCGGGCCGCTGAACGACTGCGTTAAATATGAAGTAGGATTGCGCGTCGATAATTATTAGAAAAAAGAATTTGAACGTAAGTTTTGACTCTTTTTTTGCAGAAAAACATCTACATTTACCTCTTCATCCAGCAAACATCTACATTCACCTGTTTTCAGTATTTAATTCAATATTACAATTACCACAGCTTCTTTGTTGTCATGCTAGTGATATAAAATGGAGTCCTGAGGCCACTCCCCAGAAAAAATTTAAATGCTGGCCTCACCCTGTATTAGGTGCTCGCTAGTACTCCAGTCGATGAGCACGTAAATCAGCCGCTCAATGTCCGCTACGACCGGGCTGGGAGTGCAGCCTTTTTAAGCAGCTCGCAAGATCGGAATCACTCGGCCAGCCCTTGTCATACTTTTAGGGCACAATTCCCATACTCTATAATTAACACAAGCCACTACGCTAAATTAAACTGTACGAGATTTTTCGCTGATAATGTGCCGTCGTAAAGCCAATAAGACACTCAAATGCTGCTGTGACGCACCATTGTACGGAAATGAGCACAAAATTACGCAATAAATTAGGATTCGAATACATATAGCCGTATTTAACAAAATTATAATAAGGTTTCATAAAAAGCAATGTATCTGGACTGTTGTATTCGATTATTGTTGCAACAGGTAAAATGCTATATTATATTATT